GTCCGTCTGCAATACGGCTGCATACAAGCAGCCACCACCAGCTCCCGCCGTGGTCACCGTTCTCCCAGTCTAGCTCCCATCCTACTCCCTTTGGCTGTAGTATTTCAAAACGACTCCCAGGCATCCTGCTCTTTGATCTCTTTCAGCATTCCAGCCTGCTTTTAATTTTGTGGCAGCACCTATACTGTCCAGCGGCTGCAGTGTTGCATTACAGGATGGTAGAATTTTCCAGAACCCATCCAGCAGTTTGCACTCATTCCAGATAGTGCTGGTAGACCCTGGAGTTCTTGTCTGAACCTAGTAAGTTTCCTACTGGGGGCTGCTGTTAGTAGTGTGGTCTGTGTCCAGCCGAAGGCGGAGGCCTGGTTCTCTAACTGCATATCCCTTGGCCTTTACCTTAATGTTAAATTTGACAAATACTTTAAAAATTTAGGCTTCCTTTTGCCCAGGGACAGTTTATCTTTCTCATATTTGAATTTTATGGATGTTTAAAACTTGCTTCTTTAGGCACCAAGATTTTTAAAATAATCTTTTTTAATGGAAATACGTTCCTCAGTGGCCTTGGGCCCTCTTAATTATGCTGACTTTCAGCAGTGAATTTATTTTAATTTATTATTATCTGCCTTTGGGATAATAGCTCCTCATTACTGTGCTCTTCTAGCTCTCCGTTCCTGCTGTATTATCATTAGTGTGTCCTCCTTCTTTGCTGCATTATCTTCTCTAGACTTACCTGGATGAGGGCCGCAGGGAGTCTGTTCTGCTTTACTGCCGCCAGCCCTGCAGTCTGTAACCGGGACGCGCGTACTCGCTGCTCCCCAGCCCCCAGGGACAGCTTTCCAGGGTGAATGCTGCATGCAGAGTCATAAGGGCTGCCTGTCCGGAGTGTGAGCTCCTCCGGTCGTGGGCGCTTCCCTCCCACTGGACGCGGGAGGAGCCGCACCCACACCATCCGAGTCGTATTGCAGTGCGTTGACCTAGGCTCTGAGAATCCTGCTGACATGAGACAAAGGGTGGCCGGGAAAACTGGTCTCAGGCAAGCCTCCCTCGTGCTCCCACGCCGCCGGGGAACAGCAGAGGGCTCTGGTGTCACTGCTGGGAATAAGGCTCGGCCCACGCGAGGGTGTCCTGAATGCAGGAGGAGTGGTGGCCAGTTCCCTCCCGTCCAGCTGGAGTCTCCCCAGGACTGCAAGAAGTGAACAGCCGCTGGAGACACTGCGCGTGGAGACGTTGCACACTCCCTTCCAGCTTGGTGGCTTCATCCGCCAAGTTAGTTACACACTTGGCAGAATTATCAAATCGTCATGAAGTGATTAACCCAAGTAGAGCCAGTCTTTATTTTATAAAATGTGTAATATTTTTATGCTTTTTCACAGACGTTACACTTACTTATAAACTTATGCTGAGAAATTGTTGATGTTCCCTGAAAAATGAGGAGGGGGTACTTTGATTTCTAAAGTTCTTTCAAGGTGTATATAATGCATGAGAAGTGGGTGTGTATTTACGTTGCAGGTGGCGAAGCTTCTGGAAGTCAGCTGGCTAAGTGGGTTATTACTGTATTTTTACATCGTAATCCTGTGAAGCAGAGCTATCAGGATAATGATTAATGTAATTTTTAAAATTAAATGTAGAAATAATGAGGTAATTTTTCAAAAATGTAAATTACCAAAAAGGTAGTAATTAGTCTAAGGTTTTATAATTAATCTGAGTTTTGCAATTCATAAAAAGATTACCAGACAGAAATTCTTTCTGTGATATACAAACATTGTATCTACTTGGCTTCACTGAAAAAAACTCACGAATTCATACCTGACTGGATTCAGGACTCCAGAAGGAAACGTAGCGGGGCTGTCTGTACCTCAGATGGGGGTAGGGAGGGCTGTCAGTTCCCCGTCCCCCCCGTTGTGAGGACAGTTTCTAGCCGGCCTAGAGGCTTAAGCAGTAGAAAGTGTGTAAACCTAGAATTTAAATTTCCAGGGGCTCCCCTGGTGGCGCAGTGGTTAAGAATCCTCCTGCCAATGCAAGGGACACGGGTTTGAGCCGTGGTCTGGGAAGATCCCACATGCCGCAGAGCAGCTAAACCCGTGCGCCACAACTGCTGAGCCTGTGCTCTAGAGCCCGCGAGCCACAACTACTGAAGCCCACGTGCTGCAACTACTGAAGCCCACGCTCTGCAACGAGAGAAGCCACCCACCGCAATGAGAAACCCGTGCACCGCAACGAAGAGTAGCCCCCGCTCGCTGCAACTAGAGAAAGCCCGCGCACAGCAACGAAGACCCAGTGCAGCCAAAAATAAATAAATAAATAAATCTCTATACATAATAATTTTTTAAGATCTGGTAGTGTTTCATTCTACAATTGGGCTTTTCACCTTGGGCACTAATAACTAACGTTCCACTCTGACGTTTCTGCTACGTGAATACTCGTGACTGTAATCTGGATGCTGTGTAATCGGTTGTAACAGAGCCTTTACTTTTCTAGGAGCTTCGCTAGTAACGTGACGACATGTTGAGTATGAACTGGAACTGTGCTTTGACGTGTGTTAATGTTTTCTTTTTCAGCCTTCTTGGGTGATTCTGTCCGTTCAGTGTGGAGCTCTTCTGCCGTATCCTTTGTGGGGAAATGGGGCAGGAGGGGTTTAGTACTGGAGTGGTCTTCGCTTACTGAGCTGGCTCATTAGTTAGGGGAGGTGGTGTTGTGTTCACTCTGTCCCTGCTCTTTCCATCCTGTATCCAGGTGTGTGTACCTGATCCTTGTCATTACCCCTGGGGGGCCGGGGTGGGGGGACCAGCTGTGTGGAAGCAGCTCTAGGCTGGGACCCAAGGCCCAAGTTCTAGTTCTTCTGCGACTTGGCTTTAGGATCTCGGCTGGTCTGGACCTCAGTTCTGTTATCTTTGAAATAGATGGTTTTTGTGGTGTCTAGTTAGATGGACTATTTCTAAAATTCTAAGTCTGTGTGAACCAAATCATGAATTGTTTGAAGAATAAATTGGAGAAGAGAACATCAGGACATTTTTAGTTTTATATCACGCACCATTATTCTTTTTAATTCCATTGGTTTATTAATTCAGGACCCATGTTGACCACCTGCTGTGGGCCTGGTTCTGAAAACAGAGGGGTCGACAGGGCCTCATTCCTGCCCCCAAGGAGCTGCCCCGCACTACGTGTTGGTTCATTCAGCGTTTCCTGAGTGTGGCCCTGGAACTACCCAGCCCACATACACACTGACACACACTGTGCTGGAAGCAGGAGTGAGCCCTCTGCAGCCTGCTGTTCTGTGCTCTAGGCCTCAGAGTCCCTGTTTTCGCCCTGGAAGTGTGAAGCTTCCCTGCAGGGTCATTCCAGGCATAATCTGATTTTGGAGGTCACTTCTGTTAAGGTACCTGATACTATGCGGTCATGATGTCCTAGTGTTAGACCCGGGCAGAGGTGATGTTATTTACCGTGTTGTGCGGCTCTGCCAGGCATTTACTACTGAATCGATGCGGGTAGAGGGAATCTTCATGTATTAAATATGTATAGGAGACCTCAGATAAACAGAGAAAATACCTCCTTCCACGCAGTTCTTAGAGGACGTGCACAACTTATAGCAGCTCCAGCTCAAACATTCTAAGATTTCTCTTCCACAGTCTGAAGAGTTAACGGAAATTGGTTCCTGGTTTGTTTTTGGCCTTGGTTTTTTAGGAGTTTGAGTTGTGTTTGTTTGTATTCTTTACAAGCACAGGTGAAAGAAGACTGGGAGGGAAAGGGTGTTTTTGAGGATAAGAGGCTAGTTTTTCCTGGCCTGGATCGTGCACTCGCTACGCAAGGATTTCCTGAGAAGTTGTCACTTTGAGCACTAACTGCCTGTTTTCCCAAGGAAGGTTAAAGGAGCAGAAAGAACTCCTGAGACTCGGTTAGGCAGCACACTCTTTGCCTCTGTTCATGTTTCCCCAGGTCTTTGGAAGTAGACAGTCCCTGAACTAAGGTAGGAGGATGGAGACAGAGCTTGGATGATGGGGCTGAAGGCGTGATGTTGGGGTCTGAGGAGCTCAGGGCAGCCAGGAGGCCCGAATCTCTGTGCGGTTTTCTCAGACCTGGGTAGGAGACTTCCAAACTGCAAGAAAATTTTCAGTCTGATCTTTTTTCTTAATTCACCTATCTCAGGAGGTGTACTTTTCTCCTGTAGGGAAAGAGAAGTAATACTTTAACCCATTTGAATTCTAGACACTCCAGATTCTTAAAAAAGTCATGTTTGCTTTGAATAGACCGTGAAGTACAGGCACCTAGAGGTCATGTCTGCTTATGGAGAGCCCTGTGCCCAGTGTCTGCACTCTGTAAGCTCTCAGAAAACGTGTTGAATGAATTTGAAAGTCAGAGCTTTAGAATTGGGGAGAATCTTGGGAGTTATATATACTAACTTTTGTTTTAACAAAGGGAAAACTGAAGCTCAGGGTTGTCTTGCCCCAATTCAGAGAGTTCGTGATGGTAATAAAACTAGAAGTCAAGTTCTTTTATGAAAGACTCTGCTGTGTGCCAGAAGTAATCATGTTAAAGTAAACTTAAGACCCTCAATTTGCTTTTAAAATAATCACTATGCCATATGTGGTTGTGTACATGTATAGGCATGTGTGTGTTTATATATGTGTATATAGTTAGATGTTTTTTTCCATGAGTATGTTATGCCCATTTTATTGATGATATAAGTGGAGAGATTGGATTTGAAAATGCACTTTATGGAAAACCTCTCAGTTCTTTCTGTGCTGTCAACTTCTCTTTTTTCCAGTCTGCCCTGCACTCTTCTTTGGTCAACTTAAGTCTGTCTCTTTCCTAAATGGATTGAATGGGAAGCAGAGGGTGGGCAGTGTCCAAACGGGCCAATAGGAAATGTCTCTTAGTGAAACAGAGCTTGCACTAATCTCATTTCATTGGTATCTTAATAACTGTAAAACAGAGTAAATGGCTTTTCTCCAGAGTCATGTCAGATTTTCTTTGGAATCACTGCCTGCCTCTCTCAGGTAAGCATAGTACAATTAGTTTTGTGTTATTTACACATAACAGTTCTGAGTTTTTATATGATTGGATTTATGATGTATTTGTAAACCAGTGTTACTTACTAAACTGCATATTCAGTATGACCTTATGACACAGTTAAAATGATTTAAATGTTCATACTTAGTCTTAAGACTTAGAGCTTTAATGGGTGAAAGTGGTCTTTCTAAAGGATTACAAAGATTTAAAACTTGAATATGAAAACATAGTAAAAATGAAATTGAAAGATGACAAGGAAAATTCATTCAGAAATAAAGGCAGAGAATTTTATTAATAAATAAGGGGCTCATGCAGATCAATAAAAGAAAAAAATAAGACCTCAGTAAACATAAACAAGGCAGAAAACTGAATTTACAGCTTTATAAAGAGGAATTACAAATGAGCATAGCAAAACCTTTGATACACTTTATAAACAAAGACGTGAACGCCTTAATAGCGCTGAGATAAGATTTTCTGCTTATCAAATTTGTAAGAGTATATTCGGTGCTGGTGGAGCTGCAGACAAGCTTCCCCTCTCCCGGCAGGAGTGCAGTTCAGTGCAGCGGTTTTCTAGAAAAGTTGAGCCAGGTCAGAGCCATAAAATAGTCTTTCTGCTTCCCCTGCAGTTCTCTTATGTTTAGAAGTTCATCCCAAATTGATAGAAATGAGGGCAGATTGATGCATAAAGGTGTTCAGCGCAGCTTTATTTATAAGAGGGTAAATTTGGAAACAGATGATCCACGATTTGGAAATGTTTAAGAAACCTGTTCTGTACACTTACATACTAATCTAGTTATGTAGCCAGTTGTGAATTTTGTTTTATGAATATATGTAAAGACATGGGGAATGTCTTAACTGGGGAAGAAGCCGGGTATAACAGTTATGTACAGTATTACATCAACCAAATATAATATATAGGAAATATCTGTAAGAGGGACCAAAATGTTAACGGCAGTGAATTCTGGGTAGTGTGAGAAGTGAATGTTTAATATTGTTTTATGGTATTCTGTCCTCTCAACCCCCTAGGTAAAAAACCCTCAAACAGTAAACGATTATTATGAAAAACCAAGTTGGTGTTGTTTAAACTCACTTTTTAGGTTACATGGAACAATTAGTAGCCATTGGGCAGGAAGAAGCAGTTTAAAGGGCTCCCATTTTCTCTGACCTCAGTAGGCCTCATCCCTGTCTGTAGTTCTTAAGGTGATAGTTTTGAGAAGGCGTTTAGTCTTCCATCCCCGTGGAAGCCTTTGAGAAAGGGTTGTATCAAGGATGTTAGATGAGACGAAAAGGGATTTGATCATAATCTTGCCTTTTTCTTACACCTTTGTAGTAGAGGATTACGGAACCGGGTAATATTAGCTTAATATTGTTAGATTGTCGGCCAGACTCAGCTTTTCATTCAAACGGTATCACCATGATCCCTTCTCTGTCCAAGCAATAAGTAAAATTAATTTTGTCATTGTGTTTTTATGTCTCGTAAATTCTGAAAGTTCTTTAAAATTATAAAATCTTCTGTTTTTGCTACATTGATTTAATAGAGATCCTTGAAAAGTTGGCTTTTTTTCCCTTAAGAACCAGAATTTTGCTGGTATTTGTATTTTTCAGCATTTTTCACATCTTTGCTATAAATGTATATTTACATGTTGATGATCTTTAAAGTTGGCTAAAATGAAAATCTTCTCACGATGGGTACTGTGGTTACACGTAATGTTTATTGTTTATACTCCTCTGTATGTTCCAAAGGTATAATAAATATCAGAAAAGTTTTAAATGAAGATACTTTATTGCTCCTTATGCATAAACACAGTGTACTGTGGCAAAAGGTAAATTTGCATTTAAGTATATTCGTATGGATTGGATTTCTGGGCTCACGATTCAGAGCCGCGAACCAGAGGGCGAGGAAGAAGCCGGGGCAGGGAGTCCTGTGGGTGTTTTCTGGGATCAAGGTCATAGTGACGTGGTACTTAGCGGACCTGACTTGGGAAACATAAAGGAACATCAAGAGCGTGTGAATTTAAAACAGGGTTTAAAGTTAGGGGTTAGACATGTTTAAATGTTAACTGGTTCTGGAGAACCTTGTAGCCTTGGAGAGAAGTAGAACCGAGATTACATGTCACGAAGGCTCTGGCATGTGTGATAGGTTATTATGCAGTGCACTTAACACCTGCGGTTGTAGTGCGCATGGCCCACGTGCAGGCTGTGCTGAATCAGGGGCACGGGTGTTGGGGTGTGAGTTTAGAGAAGGTGGCGCCGGTGTAGACTGTGGGATCAGGAAAGCCTTGGTGGAGGCGGCAAGATGTGAGGGGCCTGAAACGACGGGCGGAACTGGCGCGGAGCCGGATGGGGCCACAGAGGCTCGTGCGAGGGGACCGGCCTCAGAACAGGCCGTGTGGCTGGGAGGAGAGGAGGAGAACAAGCGCGCAGGCAGGCGGGCAGAGAATACAGGAAACTCGATAAAGTAGCCGCTGTTTCACTCTTCTTGTATATTTAATCTTGGACTGCAAACGCAGACGTTTGCATTAGAACATTTGGAAAACACAGGAAAAAAGCAAGCAAATTAAAATCACTTGCAGTCTTGTAGGTGGAACTGGTCTGGGAGCTCTAAGCAGGACAGAGGGCAGGGTAAGGATGGGAATGTGGACAGGAGGACCAGTCACAGTCTTTAGGCTTGAGATGAGGATTTGGACCCAGGTTAGCACCGTGTAGAAGACAACGGCGTGGATCTAAGGAACGGCTGGGAATCGGAAGGTCTTGGTGACTTGGGGGATGCTGTGCAAAGGGAAGAGCCGGTGCTCACAGGGGGCCTCTGCGTGCAGAGCCTGTGGTGGGTGCTCCACAGGAGGCCACTAGGCAGATGACTTCCTTTTCCAAAGTAGGAACATTGCCGGACGTGGGAAACAGGACTCTGGCTTCTGAGGGAAGGTGATGAAGTCGGACTGAAGCCCCTCGCTGTCCGAGTGTCGGGCCTGGGAGATGCAGCGTGAGGGGCTGAGAGCTACTGCTTCGTTGCAGAGCGGCTAGAGAGGGGAACAGGTAGTCAGGAATAGAGCCTTGCGTAACATGTGGGGTTATGGGGAGATCCGGGGAGAAAGGGGACTTGGAAGTAGACAGAGATGGTGCCGGAGGAGGGGTGTTATGCTGAGGGACTGAGAATGAAGTCAGACATAGTGGTTGGTTTTATTGCGGGGACGGAGCAGGGCCCCAGGGAGCAGTGCGGAGCGACAGTTGGTGCCCCTCCATGCTGCTCGTTGACCCGGGAGCGGGAAGACGGCAGCGCGGGGCTCTGTGTCTGGCACACAGGCTTAGGGGTCTAGGTGGACCTCGGGTTCTGGGCTGAGGAGCTACAGGTGAGGTCAGTGGAGGAGGAGAACGGGGACCCCGTGAAGGAAGCGGGGGCGTGCGGGCGTCTGGGAAGCAGCCCGGCTGCAGGTGTTTCTCCGGGTGGGGAGCGGCTGGGGCTGGAGTGGACCAAGGCGGACGCAGCGAGTGCTCGGCGGAATTTTATAGCCTTTTAAGCACATTCGTTAGGAATAACAGAGTCGGTATGACCTTTATGGGTCAGTTACTGCACTTATCCTCACAGTTCGCCACTCGTGATGGTGAAAAGAAAGCTCTGCTTTATTTGAATAAAGATCATTCAGCTAAGACTGGGGAAGGCTTTACTTGATACTAGTTCATACGAAGAAGCCCTGGTTCAGAAAAGTGCACTGGGGACACTAGTATTTTGTGGTTGCTAAAAAATGTGAATTCAGTTGTGAGACATACTAACAAACGTATGTTCAGTGTGCAGCGAAAGGACTTCGGTTCACCAAATACGTGAGGATGCTTTGTGACGGGAACAACGCCCAGGGGTGCGGATAAATGAGGATACAGTTCCCCCCCTCGGGTGAGGGCACAGTCCAGAAGGGGAATGTCACATACGCGGAGCTGAAGCGGGTGCAGGGTGTGGGAGCAGTACCAGGAGGGGCGATCACGACAGTTAACCTGCACCTGGTAGGCCTCTGGAGCACCTGCACACGCGCACGTGCACACGGCAGGCAGGCAGGGCTCCAGTGCTGTGAAAGGACTGTTTGCTTGGTGGTTCTCAGTGACCTTCTGTCTTTTCCCGTCAGGGTGTTGATACAAGCTGGAGCTCTTTGTTGGAGTCTTCCAGAGCTCTCCAGGGAGAGGTAGGGAAGGGAGCTTGTGCCAGCAGAAGTTGGGAAGCACAGACATCACCTGCCTTCTTCTGAGCCGGTATTGATGCAGGCTGAGGCCTCTGTTGTAATGTGCTGGGTAGGTCGCGGGGACAGGTCACGAGTCTGATGGAGAGCCTGGCCAGGGTCCTCATTTAAATCTGGAGGACTAAAGAGATCAAAGCCTTTCCATTCTGTATCTCAATCCACAGATATTTCTTGACTGCCTACCCATGTGCCTGGTACTGTACTAGGTCCTGTCGAAGGTACCAGAGTGGAGGACGTGGTTCTCACCTAAGGCTCCAGTCAGTAGGATGGTAGCTCACAAGCAAGACGGGACAAGGAGAGCTTGTGGGGCTGCAGCCAGGAGTGTCTGGCGGAGAGACCTGGAGAAGGAGGGCGCCCCGGGGCACAGAGGGAAGCCCTTCCTCGAGAGGGACGCGGGTGGAGGTGTGGCCTCTGCTTGGGACAGAGGTGCACATTCAGAGGGGCAGCGTGCTGTGGGAGTGCAGGGGCCGTGGGCGCTGAGCCGAGGCTAGGGGCGGGGCACAGAGGCAGGGAGAGCAGCTCAGGTGAGGGGCCGCAGGTCAGAGCGCAGGTGTGGCAGCAGCTGGGAGCAGGACCAGGGCTGAGGCACACACAGATCAGGAAAGCCCGAGACACCGTCTGGAAACTTCCAGATCTCAGCCATAAGGTGTTGAGGAGACATCCAGGCTTTCTTAGCTGAGACCGTAGACATGTAGTTTAGGGAGATTACTTTTTTTAAAAAAGAAAAGCACTTTTCCCCAGTTATAAAATTAATGCTCTTGAAAATTTGGAAAATACAGAAAAGTATAAAAATTAAAATTAAAATGTCCCCATAATCCTGTCACCACTAGGTAACTGTCATTAACATTTTGGTGTGGAAAGAGCATTCTTAATTATGCTGATACAGATTCATTGAATGAGCTGGTTTGCGCGTTCAGTCATTTAACCCAAACGTTCGCCGATGAAGAATCTGGTTCTCAGAGGTTTTCCGAGTTGCTCTTAGCTGGAGTTTGGAGGCCCTGTGTCCATTCCAGGCCTCCCTTCTTCCCAATGTGATGTTCTTTCCACAGCAACTTCCTGTGCCCTGTTGAGACCTGGGCCAGGATCCAGGCCAGCAGGGTACAGGACTAGAGTTACTGCAGTCAGTGAAATAAAAATAATACCTAACTGATGGGTGGCCAGTCTTTGTGATAAAGCCATATCTAGATTATGGGTTTTCCTTCATTTTAAATAAAGATTATATAATGATTCATTAGAGTAATATGTATTACCGTGTAATTAAATCTCACCTCCAGAGGCTGCAGGATGTAAATGTTTTTGTGAAAGTCTCTAAGAAAAATAACATCTTCTGATCCAGTATCCTGAAATGTGACACTGACTTACTAAATTAAAGAGAGAGAAGATAATGATTTTTAAGGTGATTTTATAAAATTAGTGTGTTCTTGTTAGTATTCACAGAGTAGTATGGAATGCAAAATAATTTCTAGGAATATTTGTGAAATGGATGAGAGTAGCTATAGAATGTTAGATTTTTGGCCGGCTGAATAATGGCAGTTAACAAGGAAAAAACATGCTCTTTGTCAACACTTTAAAAAAATTAACTTGAGACAAAGTTCAGAAGTCTTAGCCATAATTCACAGTTTATAATAAGTTATCTAGAAAAAAATTGACTTAGAGGATTATCTTAGGATTAACACCTTTATTTTTCTTAAATGTTTCTTTTGTCTTTGAGACGCTAAAGTTTATTTTTTAGTAATTACGTTTGGTAGTAACCGCCCTTAGAGAAGCAGTCTAGAGCAGTGGGAAAATACAGCTTGGAGCCGGGTCTGGGTTTCCAGTTACTAGCTGTCATTTCTGTGAGTGTGCACCCCACCACCGGGTCACGGGGACTAGGGGTGGACGCGGAGCCCTTGGCACAGTTCCTGGCACATAGGAGGCAGGCAATAAATGGTAGCTGGTCGGTTGTTGTAGTGAAACCTGTTGTACCACGTGAGCCGTTACATCTGGAGTCTCCACTTCATCGCTCAGCAAGCATAAGAATTGTTCCTTTTATGCTTGCCTTATTTTCTGTGTGTTTGATACTTACGTTTTCCCCTGAGCTTACGCACCACTGTATTTTTACCTTTTATTTTATCCATTTCATAATTAGTATTTGTTATCCATTAATTATTAAGGAGTTCCTTAAATATGATTTTGATACTATTGTATGTAAACATTTTTAAAAAATGACACAGGTGGAAGATGGAGTGGTGTACTAGTTCTTTTTCCTATCATTTTTGTTATAGAACGAAATAATCCTCCATTCAATCTCTGGAGTGTGGATATAAGTATTTTTCAATTTACTTGGTGACAAGGCAAAAAAAGTGATGATTATAAAACTCACGATAGGAGTAAAAGTTTTTATTATAACAAGCAAATAGCTAGAAGCTCATCTGTTTTTCCCACTAATACCCTTAGGCTAATTTCATTCAGTAAGGGAGAAAGTAGATAAAGCAAAATTGTTATGCTGTCACAGTGTATTTTAATCATAAAGTAGGTAAGCAGAGGTGGAGCCTCCTGATGAAAGCTTGCTTTCTGGTTCCTGCCAGGTGTCCCCTGAGGACAGAAGCGCCCTGTGGGCTATGCTCACCTTCCATGGCGGGGGCTGCCAGCTGACTCTCGACAAGAAGTGCACGCACCTGGTTGTTCCAGAACCAAAGGGGGTAAGTGTCCCATGTACGTTCTCCTTTTGAATGTCATTTAAGTATTCCCGGTAATCAGATATCTTCTTTGAACTTCGTTTAAATTAACTGGATTCCGTTTTACAAAAGCTGATAACATTAGTTTATATTATTTATACACAGCTTCATTCCACAAAGGATGTGAGAGGATTATAAATTTTGTTTTGAGCCAGATGTGACTTTTAAAGACAAAGAAATTTGGGTTTATTTCATGTTGAAAATAGGATAGTTTTTTGAATCTCTAAGAGTTTCCTTTCACGTCCACTGAAACTTCAGTTCATTTTTGTGAAAATACATATTAGTCCTCTTCACAATTTTTTTAAAAGGCTTGTACTGAGGGTAATTATAAGCATGCATTTGGTGAAGTTCTCAGTGTACTGTCCTTCTTAGTAATCTGGAATATTTAAAACTGCGTTTATCTCCTTAAGCACGGGACTCTTCTCTCTAAGCACTGGAGGGCCGTAGGGCTCTGGGGGTCCCAGGTGGGGTCCCAGGTCGCCAGCATCAGCCTCCCGGGACTTGTTAGAACCGCAGTCTGTCCAGCCCGCCCCAGACCTAGTAAATCAGAACCTGCCAGGGAAGGGGGAGCCCGGGGAGACTGAGGCACATGAAGTTTGAGAACGACCGTTGTGTGGAAATCCAGCTTTTTTCCTTCCATGAACATTTATAAACTTGAGAATTAAGTCTACTTATAGTAGGGAAAGCCTTTTGACTAGCTAACGTTTCCACGTGTCAGTCATTAGCTCCTTTTTTTGTTGCCTTCAGTCTGAGTCAGCGCTGTGTATGTTTCGCCCGAGTGCCACTGACTCACAGGAGGGGTGGGAGGCGTGTGGCCGGGCCTGGGCGCAGGGGTGTGGAAGGCTGACGCCCCCCCCGGCCAAGAGGGTCCCTTTCTAGGGCATCTGGAGCAGAGGTGGCCCATAAATGCATGCCGTTCATCATGTTCATTTCCCGACAAGAAAATAACCTGTTAGCCCATGAGTTTGCTTGTAACTTAGTAAGCTGTACAGTCCAAGGGGAGACTCTGAAAATTTGAGGTGAGTCTTAAAATCTACTTGAGTAAAAAATTATATTTTACATAACAATTTAAGAGATAAGTAGTATGCTTTGGTTAAATAGTGTAGGGTTTCTTTTTATATCAGTATTCATCTATGGCTAAAAATAAGTCATTTGATTTTAGGTAGCTAGTTTAAGGGGAATGAAGTCTTTATAACTTTTAAAACTATGAGTGAATACTTCTGAAGAGTCAAATTATAATTTGAGGCAGCATATGAATAGAGTGGATTTGTCAAACAGACTAGCTGACTACACACACAAAATAAATGGCATGTTTAAAACAAATTCTTTTTTTTGCATTTTTGGATAAATTTATGGAGAAAATATATAAATGGCATGATGAAACTATTGTATTCTTGAATTTTTAAAATGTTTTAAATTGAGAAGAATGAAGGAATTTCATAACAATCAATAGAAAACCCAAGTAGGTTGATTAGCCTTTGGAGGAGGGAGCTGGTTTCTGGGTGTAAGTCCTTCACCCCTGCTGAAGGGTGAAGGTGGGGCTGGGGAGAGACCCTGGGATCCTCCAGCCCGGCCGCCTGCCGACAGCAGGAGTGGATTTAGTGTGGGGCCCCAATTATGTGTTTTCTGGAGAATTGCTGGTATCCGAGGCTTTAGAGCAGGTGGGTCAGACTCTGTCGGTTAACCGAGCCGTGTTTCCAAACTTGTTTATTTTAAAGCCCTTTTATCATGTAACTCTCGTTTAAGATTCCCTGCTCATCTCCCTTTCCCTCGGGCGTTCCTTTCTTTCCGCCCTCTACCCCGCAGGAGCGCCCTCTGCCTGCCTGTCAGCGCCCCTGCCCAGTGTCCCCAGCTCACTGCTCCCACCAGACCCTGCCAGACCCTGCCGTCCAGCGAGGCCTCCCTGCCCCGTGCCCACGGGACTTCGCGCTGGGTTTCTGTTGTATTCCTGTTGTGCATGTTTAACTTCTGTCCAGAACTAAGTCAGAAGCCTCGCTAGCAGAGAATTGTTGCGGCCTTTGTGTCTTAGGTAGAATGAGCTCGATAAACACTCGCCCACCTGACTGAGGAGCGTCCCCACGCTCCCAGGACTGCCCATGGCCCTGAAGGTGACCCGATCAGTGACACTTTGCACAGAGCAGCAGTGACAACCAGATTGGACGGCAGGCCGCCTGGCGTTCCTGAGAGTCTCTCGTAGGATTCCTAGCTGTGCGTAGCATTACCTGAAGTTGCCTTCGTAAAAGCGAATTCGGCAGACTTGAAGCCGACCTAAGACCATTGACACATGGTTCGTTGTGTCGCGTGTTCTCTGTCTAAAAGGGGTGTGAGCTTCTCCTCTGGGTAAAGTGGCAACAACAGGAGCTGTGTCCCTCTCCTAAAGTTCTTGCTTCGAGTGCGTACTTCTAGGAAATCTGATAAAACTTGCGGTTTTGTTTCCGTGTGTGTTTGTGCTTCGCCCGCAGGAGAAATATGAATGTGCTTTAAAGAGAGCAAGCATTAAAATCGTGACGCCCGACTGGGTCCTGGATTGCATATCTGAGAAGACTAAGAAGGACGAAGCCCTTTACCATCCTCGTCTCGTCGTTTATGAGGAGGAAGAGGAGGAGGAGAATGAGGAACCGGAGTCCCCGGAGGAGGCCAGCGCGGAGGAGAGGTTCAGCCCCGCCAGCTCTCAGGACGGCTCCCCCTCGGGTGGCCAGCAGCTCTCACCCAAGTCGAACGCTGAAAAATCCAAAGGGGAATTGATGTTTGACGATTCTTCAGATTCGTCACCTGAAAAACAAGAGAGAAATTTAAACTGGACGCCCGCGGAGGTCCCGCAGTTAGCGGCAGCGAAGCGCAGGCTGCCTCCTGGCCAGGAGCCCGGGTTAATTAACTTGTGTGCCAACGTGCCGCCCGTCCCAGGGAACGTCCTGCCCCCCGAGGTCCGCGGTAATTTAATGGCTTCAGGACAAAGCCTCCAGAGTTCCGAAAGGTCAGAGATGATAGCCGCTTGGAGTCCAGCTGTGCGGACCTTGCGAAATATCACTAATAATGCTGACATTCAGCAGATCAACCGGCCGGCCAACGTAGCACACGTAAGTCACTCTTTAAAAAACAAAAGATTTAAATACTGGATTTTACAGCCTTTTCAAATATTTATTTTATTGTCTTCTGCTTCTTCAGGACAAGTAACTTACAAGCAGTATTTATTTGCCTGAGAGCATGTCCCACGGTCTTTATCTGTGTATACGTACACGTGTACGTATTTCAGTGTCATAAATGCCGTGTACGAGAGGGTGACGGCAGGCACGTAGTTGGAGGCCTGACTGCTGAGTTGGCACCAGGACGCCAGTGGCGGGCGCCGCCCCCGGAAACGGCTTCCACGCCTGCTCGGTTTCATTAGCGGTGGCAGCAAAGAGGAGCCTGCAGGCTGCCAGCTGTTCCTTGTTTGCTTATACCGAGCTCCACGGTAGACAAGTAGCGTAACATAAATTAATTCACTCGTTGACGGAGCCTTAATCTTAATTTACAGTTTTGTGATTGGAGCCTGTTGGTACGGGATGGACCTTGAAAGTTGTCGTAAATGTTTTTCACGTGAAGACGGAGAGGAAGTCGTCCGGGTGGTGTGGGCCCGTCTGCGTATCTGGGGCCCCGGAGGCAAGATGGTGAATGAGACAGACGGGCCCCGCCCTCCTTGCAGGTGGAGCAGGCCGACAGTCAGCATAGGTGTTCAGAAGGCAGTAATAAGGGGTCGTGTACTATGAGGGCCGCTGGGGGAGGAGGCCCCTTAAATTAAGCGAAGACTCAACTGCAGGCGGCCCTGGGCAGAGCTGAGGGCAGAGTTGTGGGTGAAGGGGCAGCGGCTGTGAAGACCCTGGAGTAGGCGTGACCTTGCCGTGTTCCAAGGCAGCGGTCTCCAGCCTTTCTGGCACCAGGGACCGGTTTTTCCGCGGGCGGACGGGGGTGGGGAGGGATGGTGCAGGCAGTGACCCAGGCGACGGCGGGCAGCGGGCAGCGGCAGGTGAAGCTTCGCCGCCCACCCGCCACTCACCTCCTGCTGTGCGGCCTGGTTCCTGACCAGGGGGTGGGGGACCCCTGTTCTAAGGGAGGAAAGTCACTGAGACTTGAACTTAGGTGAGTGGGTGGAGGTTGACACGTAGGGTCTTGTCTTCCATGTAAGGAGCCACTGGGGGGATCTCGTCGGGGTGGGCAAGTAGCTACTTATTACGAGTCGCAGCACCACAATCACGTCTGATGGCGGGGAGGTTTTTAAGAGTCTTTATTGGTTAAAGATGCATGAAAAGCACTCTTCCTCCCCTCCCTCGGCTTCAGCAGTGACCAGTTGATCGTGCCTGGTCCTCGAGACGCCGGAGGGGTGGCATCCCGAGAAAGGCGGGCAGGGTGTGTGGGGAGAAACGGGGCTCAGGGGCTTCGGGGACAAGGTTCCGACAGTCGACACGAGATTCTGGGAAGACGTGTTACCGCAGCCGGTTAGGAGCCAGTGTAAGTTGACCCCAGCTTGGGCCGTCAGCCAGCGTGAGCACAGTGGGGCCTGGCCCAGGCAGGGAGGGGGCCGCGGAGAGCAGCCCCGCGGCGACGGGTACCTGGCAGCCCGGAAGGGAAAGCAGTTTTGGGGGTGCGGTGGCTTTGGTGATAAAGGCGGAGAGTGAGGTCACGCACCAGTCACTGACGGGCCGCGTTCTGCTCAGCATGTTTAGATAATTTAAATTTGATTTGTTTGCCCAAATCGTGAGATTCTCCGTGACGACGGGGTTTCCGGGCTGTCTTGAGAAGTGGATGGTGTCGTAGAACGGAGCTGGCATCTGAAGTCTGAACGGTGCCTGTCCCTCATGGCCGAGCAGCAGCTGTGCCCTGTGGACTGGGGCTCCATCTGTGTGCTAACTTCCCGAACTCCATCCCGTCATGCTTTGTGTTAATCCCTCTGGTCCTGGAGGTGAGTTTGAGTCTGAAGGGGGATTGGCAGCGAGAGGCTGAGGGAACGAGGACGAGGTCCCTGAGATGAGGTGGTCAGAGAATAGCAGGGCCAGGCCTCGCCCGATGGTGTCACCAAGGCTCAGGGAGAAGGTGGAGCCTAGGAAAGAGTGGGCGCATCTGTGGGCGCCTGGGCCCGCGTGTCAGCACCCAGCTCCGCAGGGGCCTCGCGGAGAGCGAGGAGGTGGTCGGAAGACGGAGCACGCGGGGTGGGCGGGATGCGGATGCCAGGCCAGAGGCAGAGCGCGGAGGGGAGATCAGAGAAATTGGGGGCGTGGGGAGGCTGGAGGGCCAGCCGGTCTGGAGAGGCGACCTGGGCTGTTCAGGGGGCCTGCCCTGCTGGCAGGCGGAGACCCACGTGGGCGCTGGGAGGATGGAGGAGCCGGTGTGCAAAGCCTCTTCCCCCGTCCTCAGCTGAGGAACGAGGAGCGGGAACAGGACGGAAGTGCGGAGCTGTCCGTTCACTGGAGGGTAGAAAGCACTGCTGGTCAGTGACTGGGCATGTCTTCTGGATTCCGCATTTTTCAAATACAGTGGATGTTGACTTAAATCCCAAGTTCCCTCCATTTGGATGTAGAGGTAAACTCATCTCATTGGAAATGGAAATGCTGACTACACCCGGAGGCGGGGTGGGCTGGGCGTATCTCTGCCTTTGCGTCGTCCTGCAGGTCGGACCTCCGCAGAAGACGGACCTGATCTACTCAGCCGCGTGCAGAGGCGGGACCAGTTCTAGCGAGGGAATGGTTTTGATCACTAATGAGAACGCTTGCGCAGAGGTCTGAGGGTTCTTCAGCAGTGTCAGAACACTAGGCCATTTTGCTGCTAGATGTGAAGAAAATGAACCTTTGAAATGTTAGAAATAAAAGATTTGGTTTAAAATTAGATCAGGGGGTTGAGGAAACATAGCAACCATCAAACTCCTGTTTTTTTTTGTTTTTTGGGGTTTTTTTTTTGTTTTTTTGCAGTACGCGGGCCTCTCACTGTTGTGGCCTCTCCCGTTGCGGAGCACAGGCTCCGGACGCACAGGCTCAGCGGCCATGGCTCACGGGCGCAGCCACTCCGCGGCATGTGGGATCCTCCCGGACCGGGGCGTGAACCCGTGTCCCCTGCATTGGCAGGCGGACTCTCAACCACTGCGCCACCAGGGAAGTCCCAAACTCCTGTTTAAATTGCAACTTTCTGGTGGTTAGGAGCCGTGTGGTGTGTATCGTGCTGTTTTATGAAAATGTTGTGGCTCTCAGTATTAAGTAGTTTAAGTGAGGACAGTGGCAACTATGAGGGAAAAATTCACAGTTGACGTTCACTAAAAATGGTAGTTGGCAGTGTGGCGAATCTTGTGCCCAAGCAGTTAAGAGTTTTTCTTTGATTCTTCAGGACTAACATAGGTTCTCGGCCAGAGGCAGGTCAGAGGGTTGAACAAGCCATGTGATGAGTGTGCAAGGTGTTCTAAGGGGCACCTCACACCCCCTGGCCTGCCGGGCTGCCCGCTCCCCAGCCAGGCTGGCCAGGTGCATGCACGGCTTTCCAGGCCATTGTCCACCTCTCAGCCTCTGAGAGGTGGCTGGGCTCTTGCCAGTGTCTCTGTCTGCTCTGAGTTGCCCTCCTGTTGCGTCTTGGCCTCCCCCAGCCCCTTCAGAACATGGTCGCCCACGGAAGGGGCCTCCAGCTGAGTCCTGGCCCCGGGCGTTCCTGCCGGCCCACCTGACGCCACCAGGAGCTCCCCTGGCCTGGGGAGCGGCAGTCAGGTCAGCCCTGTTCGTGATGGCAGACAGGCAGGCTGTATCAAATCTACCCTAGGCTTTTACTTCTGGGGGTGAAAGAGTAACATATGTACAAAAGTTTAAATTTTAAGGGTACCACAGGCTGTAAAGTGATGGTAACTCCCTCCCACCCCTGACCCCATGACCCCTCTGCCAGACCAGTGTCCTTTGTGTGGGCTCGTGGCCCATCTGCAGATATCCAGGCAGGGTCCCCTCCCCACTCCTGCCTTTTTTTTTTTTTTTTTTTTTTTTAGCGGTACGCGGGCCTCTCAGTCGTGGCCTCTCCCATTGCGGAGCACAGGCTCCGGACGCGCAGGCTCAGCGGCCATGGCTCACGGGCCCAGCTGCTCCGCGGCATGTGGGATCCTCCCGGACCGGGGCACGAACCCGCGTCCCCCGCATCGGCAGGCGGACTTCCACCAGGGAAGCCCCTGCCTGCTTTTTTATGGAAATGTTAGCGTCCCAAATGCTGTTCTGTATACTTGTGCAGGGTATGTGGTGGGGTTCATTTCTCCCTCCACTTCACTGGGTATTTTTTAACACTTGGTAGAGAAGAATTAGTTATCCTGTTGATTACAAACGTGTTGAAAACTTTTCTTCCTGCTCAGAGCTCAACTTGAGGAGTTTTCAAAGTACCCAAAGAGTCTCCTTATAGAGATGTCTTACCTATAGGCTGACTTCAAAGACAGATATACTCAAACCCTTAAGTTTAACTTATTTCAATTTTAATTTATTTCACCACTAAATCCAAAGTCTGTTACTCTTGCAAATTATATAACCTTTATGTTTTGGAGTCTGTTTTAAGTGAAAGAGATATGTCAAAAACATATTTGAGATTTTTGTATAGGTTTGGTTTATGTGAAAGTTGCATTTCTGGAGTTTTATTTAAATGACAAGGATGTTTTTAATAGGGATAAATTGTATTGATTGACTTTTGGTAAAATCTGTTTGTTACTGGCTTCCTTGACTATGAGAAGTTGGCTTCCAATTTTTCTTACTTGAGCATGTTGGGAAAATTCATTGTATGACACGTTTCTTTTGTTACATCCAGCGCTGCGCAGGGTAGTAAAATGACATGGCGATCTGACGCTCAGCGAGCTGGTGTCTCCTGGTCCCGGTCCGGCCCCTTCCCGCCTTGCAGCTTGTTCGGCCCTCAGGCCGACTCCTGTCCCTGGGAGGGAGGGTGAGCTCAACCCCAGCTGGCTGGCGGCGGGGTTCTCTAGCTTGAGGTGTTCTGTTCCACGTGTGGAGCTCCCGTCACCTCTGAGGAAGGCGAGTGTACCAGCTGTGCTGAGGGCCTCTCGGCTGGGGGAAGGTCGACCACGCAAGCAAAACTAGTGCTGGTGTCTCTTCCGTCCCTCGTTCGTGTGACAGAGCAGGACGACCGCAGACGGGAGGGGCCGGCGGCTGCTCTCCAGGGTCGCCTGTGTCCCGTGCCTTCACAGGTCTTTGCGTCCTCCTCTGCCGGACCCCTTGCTCCTATGGGAAGCGGCAGCTGTGGGAAGGAGGCTTGGGTCAGGCTGTCCGGCTGCCGGTGCCTTCGTGGCCGGGCAGGAGGGGGCCCCGGAGGGACAAGGCTGCGCCCTGGGGCCGGCGAGGTCATTGTGGCCGAACACCCGTCCCTCTGCTCTAGAGCACGTTGGCCATTTGAGCTTGTGTCGGTCAGCTTTCACTCATGAGCTTGCTCCACTTCACTGAGGTTAGTTTCACATTTTGGGGAAAATGTCTCACGATATGAACTTACTTGCTTCACGGAGGCTGGTGATGCTTAGTGCACAGGAGACAACGGCAGCTGTGTTTGCACCGTCCGGCCAGCGAACGTCTGGCTGACAGCGTGTAGGGTGTGCCGTCGCCCTCCTGATGAGGGCCGGGGAGCACATGTCAGCAGCTGCTGATGACCACCTCGCCTGATTTCTGTTTCCAGATCTTACAGTCCCTCGCAGCTCCGACAAAGACCTTAGAGCCACAGGTGAACCACAGCCAGCAGAGCCATGCGAATGCAGCGCTGCTCAGCCAGGTGAAAGTGACCCCGGAGTCACATCTGTCACCACCGGCCCCGCCGTCCGTCCTGCACCTGCCGCCCCAGCAGGCCCTGCAGCTCCAGCAGCAGCCTTACCCGCCGCCGCCGCATCCGTTTCGGCCACCGCCGCAGGCCCACCAGCCTCAGTTACCCCCGCAGCAGCAGGCGCTGCAGCACCAGCTCGCACACTTGCAGCAGCTACAGCGCCTGCACCAGCAGCAGCAGATGCAAACGCAGGCGCCCCAGGCCCCGCTGTGCCAGCCGCAGCGCCAGCTGTTCGGACACGACCCAGCAGTAGAGAGTTAGTAATGTGGCTTCTTCCTTCTTTTTCTCCCAAAAGTCCTGTACTTACTTGGAGAGTGTTTGCAGGTAGGGTAAGGATTCATGCCAAAACAACTCTTAGAAAACGGGGAACGGGGGTCTCATTACCTAACAAAGGATATAGTTAGGAGGATGGAACAGTTAGATTTCTTTGGTACTTTGGGACGCCATACCCTGAAGTGAACTGTGGCGTCCATAGAACATCAGGCTGCCGCAGGGACCAACTGGGGATGCTCAGTGCCCAGGCAGGAACCGTTGGTTTCGTGTTCTCAGTCACTTAACGTAGACAGGTGAGCAACTATGTTTGCAGCAGTGTGCCAGAGGTCCTCACCGTACTGGTGGATACGTGATGGTCGAGCGTGACTCGCTTCACGCATTCATACTGAACTCTGCAAGATGAGCTTGTTTATGTTTTGTGCACACATTCATGCGTTTGGGACTTTAATGCGTATGATTCTATTCTAGTTCCAGAAGAAGGCTTCTTACTGGGATGTGTGTTTGCAGTTGCGGATTATCCAGAGCAGATGTCTGACAAGCAGCTGCTGGCCACGTGGAAAAGGGTAAGGTTACTGAGATGCAGATACAGATACGTATACCTACACACACACATATAATACCTGAAGGTGTTATGGGCATTTTTATTAACACCCCCGGGACCTTGGGCAGATCCGCTGTTTGGGCTTCAGTTTTCCAAACTGTAAGTGGAAAAGGTTGGACTTTCTCATTCTTAAGATTATTTTCAGTCCTGAAATTCTGAGTGGCACGGATGACTTGTATATAACCGGGGGAGTGGGAAGAAGATCGGGTTTTGGTGCTCTCGGGTCGGGACCCTGGACTTACACGTAGCTGTGTCATCTCTGTTCTCCAAAGGCGAGTGGTTGGAAGGGACCGCAGAGTCCTCTAGCCCAGGTGTGGAGCTGAGTCCGTTGATTGATCTATTGGTTTGCACAGTGGCCTTTAAGGAAAAGGAGAAGTGAACGCTTTCTCTCGCAGGGCCACAAATCAAACTGAGCCCGATTTTCTTTAAATGCATGAGTGTGTGTGCTTCAGATGCATCTGCAGTGGGTTCCCTGCAAGCACTGTTGGTGTTTAAGCCCCCGCCATGTGCCAGGCAGTGTCAGACCTAGGGAACGCTGGTGACCGAACAGGAGCGAGGAAACCGGGAGACGGGTGGAGGAGCAGCCGCACGCTCAGGTGACGGTGAGCAGCACGTTGGGTGCTGGAGAGCCTGGAGAAAGGTGCTAGCCGGGCGGGTGCTTGTCAAGCAGAGGACCCTGTCTGCGAGGCCGAGTAAGCGTTCAGGGGAGGGAGGGGTCCCGGTGGAGAGAGTGGCGTCGGCAGGGCCGCGGGGCTGCGGAAGGGGCGCGGCAGTGGGAGAGCACGCCCCTGGGGGCGGGGTTAGGGTTGGGGTCCGGGAGTCACGGAGGGCCGGAGACTAAGACCCGACTTACCTGGCGCGTTGTAGGAACCGGAGTTTGCTCCCCATCGTCTTGAGAGCGTGTGGAGCGTGGGCAGGTGCGCGTGTGGCCGTGAGATGTTGGGCACGGAAGGCCGGGGAGGTGGCTGGGCTGGGGCTTGGTTGGGAAGCGCTGAGCACCCGAAGGAGGGCAGCCGCCAGGGGCAGGGGAGGAGTCGCCTGTCTGAGAGTTACAGCGGCAGACGTTTTGTTTTTAATTATGGAAGTGTAGCGGGTAATGATATTTAGAAAGTACCCTGAAGAAAAAAGTAGAACAAAATTCAGAGATACGAAGAGGTTTGCTTTCGGTTTTGGGGGTTTTGTTTTTGTCAGTTAAAAGGTTGGTCCGAGAGGTCCAAAATTAAATCCTGGAAGTTTGGGAACAGAGGAAATGAAGGCAAGAAAGTTGAAAGAAGGTCGCTTATAACTGAAGGGCGTTTCTGCAGATTGAAAGGAGAGAAGAGGGCGCTGTTCGGGCTGCCGTGAAGGTGCAACGTGTGAGGGATGCCTGGGCTCAGGGCTTGAGGATGAGTACCAGCGGGACCTGGGTGGGCGTCTGGCTCTCAGAGGCAGCCCGTGATTCCCAGCCCGGGATGCCGTATCCAGTCCGTCAGTCAAATGGGACTGTGGGATGAAGATATTTTCAGACTCCCCCAGTCAGAAACTGTGCCTGCCGTGTGCCGTGCCACCCAAGAGGAGGGTGTGGCCAAGGGTGGGGCTTGACCCAGAGATGGAAAGGGATTCCGAGGGTGAGGGTGCAGGGCGGTCCAGACAGGCGTGAGAGCTGCTGGAGAGGGACCAGCCAGCACCGGAGCGGGGGGCGGCGTCCGGGAGGGACGGCACGGGGTGGAGGAGACAGGTCGCTGGAGGGGCTGGACCGTGTTAAGCGGAGGTGACACTGCGTTCGTCTTCTGTTGCTGTGTGATGACTCCCCCGAGACTCAGTGACTTGAAACAACAGACACTTACTACCCCGTGGTTCCTGTGTGGGCTGGAAGTCCTGAAGCGGCTCGGTGGGTGGCTAGAGCCCTGGCCCCCAGGAGGCTGCATCTGAGGGCTCTGCTGGGCTGCAGGGACCGCTTAGAATGCCGCCCCCATGGCTCTTGGGGGGCCCCACCCCCCCGCCCCGGGCATCTCCAGGGAGCGCGTCCGCTCAGCATGGCGCCGACTCCCCCGTGGCTTTGCTGAGGCCGCATGCCATCGCCCGGCGCGCTCTGTTGGTCTGGCCCACGCTCCAGGCCGAGTCCAGCCCTGGCCCCTGGAGGGAGGAGAGTCAGGTGACATGCTTTTGAGCCAGCACGTTGCATTTCTTTGAAGAGTCTGGGAAAGAAATAGTGAAAGGTACATGGAAAGCTAAGAAAAAGACAGACGAGAAGGAGGGGAATGAGGCATTTGTTAACACCAGGGAAAGCAAAAGTTGGTAGCAGAAAGGAACTTCGTCCCGGTGTGCCCTGATAGACCAGGTAGGTGGTGAGCTGTACTGTATTAAATCCCAAAGGCTGATTGAAATAGGGACTGTGATAGAACCAGATTAGGAAGGCGCACGTGCGTGTGTGTGTGCGTGTGTGTGTGTGTGTGTGTGTGTGTGTGTGTGTTTTAGTTTCTGGGGGGAAGGTGGCCTCCACAGTAGGAGGTTGTAGATAACATCTAAAGCTAAAAAAGAAATTGCATAGAATGTATTAGTTAGAATATATGAATAATTACCAGAAGGAGTCAAAGAGCTGGGTGTGGCAGCCTTAGGGGAGTGGAAAGTGAGTGGGGTACTAGCAAACTGCTGGTTTTGTCCTGGGCCTTATTAAACTATGTTTATGCGTCACTTTAATCAACGTAAAAATCAAATTTTAAAAGTAGTAAATGGAGAGGAGTGGGTCAGGATGGCAGAGGAGAGCGACGTGGAGCTCCGCCCACTTCCACAGGTGCGTCAGAAATACGTGCACATGTGGAAACGGCTCTCACACAACATCTACTGAACGCTGGCAGAAGACCTCGGACTTCTGAAGGGGCAAGAAAATCTCCACGTAACCAGGTAGGACAAAAGAAAAAAGAAAAAAAGAGAGAGAAAGGAATCAGGATGGGACCTGTGCCCTTGCGACGGAGCTGTGAAAGAGGAAAGGTTCCTGCACCCTGGGAGGCCCCTCCCTGTCAGGGAGATCAGCGGGGACAGAAAGGGAGCTTCCGAACATACAAAGAAGAACTTAACACCAATCCTTCTCAGACTCTTCCAAAAGACTGAAGAGGAGGGAACACTCCCAAAGACCTTCTGTGAAGCCACCATCACCCTGACACCAAAGCCAGACAAAGACGCTACCAACAAAGAAAATTACAGGCCAGTATCTTTGATGAACATAGATGGATGCAGGAATGCTCAACAAAGTATTAGCAAACCTAATCCAACAAAACATAGATGATAAGACCACGACCAAGTGGGAATCAGCCCACGTTCATGAGGATGGTTCAGCAGACACAGATCAATCAGTGTGATACAGCACATCAACAAAAGAAAAGACAAAAACCACATGATCATCTCAATAGATGCAGAAAAAGCATTTGACGAAATTCAACACCCATTCATGATAACTCTTACCAAAGTGAGTATAGAGGAACCAAAATATAATAAAAGCTATTTATGACAAACGCACAGCCAATACAATACTCAACAGTGAAAAGCTGAAAGCCCTCCTGCTAAAATCTGGAACAAGACAAAGATGCCCACTTCACCTCTTCTATTCAACATAGTTTTGGAAGTCCTAACCACAGCAATCAGACAAGAAATAAAAAGGTATCCGAATTGATCGGGAAGAGGTAAAATTGTCATTATATTCATATAACATGGATACATACAGGAAACCCTTAAGACTACACACAAAAATGAATTCAGCAAGGTAGGAGGAGGATACAACATACAGAAATCGGTTGCATTTCTTTATACTAATAATGAAGTATCAAAATGGGAGTGTGAAAAAAACAATTCCTTTTAAAATCATACTCCCCAAAGTAAAATACTTAGGAATAAAGCTGGCCAAGGAGGTGAAAGACGTCCAGGCTGAGAACTATAAAACATTAATAAAGGAAATTGAAGATGACTGAAAGAAATGGAAAGCTAGCCCATGCTCTTGGATGGGAAGAACTAATATTGTTAAAATGGCCATACTACCCAAAGCAATCTACAGGTTTAATGCCACCCCTATCAAATTACCCATGACGTTTTCCACAAGTAGAACAAGTAATCCTAAAATTTATATGGAACCATAAAAGACCCAGAATTGCCAAAGCAATCCTGAAGAAAAAGAACAAAGCAGGAGCCATGACCCTCCCAGACTTCGGACAATACTACAAAGCTACAGTAATCAAAACAGTGCGTGGTACTGGCACAAAAACAGACATATGGATCAGTGGATCAATGGGCACAATAGAGTGCCCAGAAATAAACCCACACACCTACAGTCAGTTAATCTTCAACAAAGGAGGCAAGAATATACAATGGAGAAGAGACAGGCTCTTCAGCAAGTGGTGTTGGGAAAGCTGGACAGCTGCATGGAAAGCTGGACAGCTGCATGTAAATCAGTGAAGTTAGAACACACCCTCACACCTACACAAAAATAAACTCAAAATGGCTTAAAGACTTAAACGTGTAAGACATGACACCGTAAAACTCCTAGAAGAGAACACAGGGAAAGCATTCTCTGACTTAAGTCATACCAATGTTTTCTTAGGTCGGTCTCCCAAGGCCGTAGAAATAAAAGCAAAAACAAACAAATGGGACCTGATCAAACTTACAAGCTTTTGCACAGCAAAGGAGACCATAAACAAAATGAAAAGGCAACCTACTGACTGGGAGAAAACGTTTGCAAATGATGCAAGTGCCAAGGGCTTAATTTCCAAAATACACAAACAGCCTCACACAACTCAGCCACAAAAAAACAACCCAATCGAAGAGGACCCGAAACAGACATTTCTCTAAAGTAGACGTAGAGATGGCCAGTAGGCCCACGAAAGGATGCTCAGTATCACGAATTATTAGAGAAATGCAAATCAGAACTACCATGGGGTACCACCTCACACAGGTCAGAATGGCCATCATTAAAAATAACAAATAACAAATGCTGGAGAGGGTGTGGAGTAAAGGGAACCCTCCTACACTGCTGGTGGGAATGTAAGTTGGTGCAGCCGCTATGGAGAACAGCATGGAGGTTCCTCAAGAAGCTAAAACTAGAACTACTGTGTGATCCAGCAGTCCCACTGCTGGGCATAAACCTAGACAAAGCTATAATTCAAAAAGACGCACCCCTGTGTTCATAGCACTATTCACGATAGCCAAGACGTGGAAGCAACCTAAATGTCCGTCGACAGATGAATGGATGAGGAAGGCGTGGCACATATCTGCAACGGAACATCACTCATCCATAAGAAGGAATGAAATAATGCCATTTGCAGCAACATGGATGGACCTAGAGATGATCATACCGAGTGAAGTAAGCCAGACAGAGAAAGACAGATACCATATGATATCACTTAGATGTGGAATCTAAAATGCTACACAAACGAATCTATCTACAAAACAGAAGCAGACTCACGAACACAGAGCACAGACTTGTGGTCGCCCAGAAGCAGCGGGTTGCGGGGCGGATGGAGTGGGAGGGAGTGTGAGGTCAGCAGGTGTAAGCGAGAGCGCAGAGAATGGACAGGCAGCAGGGTCCTGCTGTAGCGCACAGGGAGCTGCGTTCAACATCCTGTGATGAACCGTAACAGAAAAGAATATTTTAAGAAAAGGACTTGTATATGTGTACGTGTAACTGAATCACTGTGCTGTGTACCTGAAACTAACACCATATCGTAAATCAACTAGACTCCAGTTTAAAAAACATTTTTTTAATAAAAAATTTTAAAAAGTTGTAAATGAAATGGAATTGTTTCGTGGGGCAGGTCTTTTTAACATATAAAGTTCTCGCTCTTTCGGTATACAGCGTTTTAAGTTTTGACCAGTTCCCCTTAGTGCCACACAACTATGTAACCACTGCCGTCGAGGTACGGGACAGTCCCCTCACCCCAAAAAACTGAATCTGTTTTTAAAAATAATTTTCTGGTGTTCACAGACTTCATTTTGACCTTTTTTTGGTTTTGTTTTTTTCCCCCTTTTAGAATAACGTTTCTTAAAAGCAGTGATTCTAGCCCCGGGGGACGATTGGCAATGTCTGAGACATTTTTCACTGTCGCAGCTGGGGGAGTGATATTGGCGTCTCAGGGGGAGAGGCCAGGGGTGCTGCCGGCCCCCTGAGATGCTCAGGATCCACCCCCGCAGCTCAGTCAGCTGGTGTAAAACGTCCGTAGTGCCCAGTTGAGAAACCCTGTTTTAGAAAGAGCATTCCACTTTTCCTTTGGAAGTTCAGATGGAATGGTGTTAACGTTCATTTTTATTGTACAGTGCAGGGTGGAAAAGTCCGTAGATAGAGCTGATAACATCTTTTCTACTTTTGGGGAACTAGACGATGAAAATGTATAATGGATTCTTTTAGTAGCCGTCTTATTTGAAATTACAATTCCCTCTTCCCCTGAGCGCTGGAGGTTGACTGTGACTCTGGGTCTTGTGCGTGTCTAGATAATCCAGGCGCACGGAGGTGCTGTGGACCCCACGTTCTCGAGCCGCTGCACACACCTGCTCTGTGAGAGTCAAGTGAGCGGGCTGTTCGCACAGGTGAGTGGGGGCTCAGCTGCGATGGAACCGAGTCTGTCCCTTTCTCTGGACAGTGTTAGCGTTCTAAGTGACTCTAGTGATGATCGTGTTTGGAAAGGACTTTTTTCTACCTCTAAAAATAGAAAATTGCTTCTTACTAATTCTCCTCGATCTTTGGTGGGTTAGATAGATACCTCTGTGGCCACCAGGCCTTTCTGTCTGTGAGGAATGGAGAAGGGGACATCCCAGGTGGTGCTAGGGGAGGGTAGACGGCCTTCCGCTCCAGTCCAGGGCCACACTGAATGAAGAGCGGCCGGAAGCAGGATTTCTTAACTGTTGGGGGATTCGTATGCAGGCCTGACCTGGTCAGTCCTCCAAGCTTCTGTCCTGCAGAGCAGACGCTTCCTCCTCAGTATTACCTGCTCTCCCCTGAAAGTTCATTTCTTCTCTTTTCTTAAAAATGTTATTTGTAGACAGACGCGTGTCAGTGTGTGTGACACACGGCCTCTAAGGAACCCCTGTTAGAGTAGGTAGTGGTGCCTGTGGGGAGGTGCTCGGTGCTTACTTTTAGGTGAGCAGTTGCGTTCTTTCGTGACTTGTGTGCGGGGCCCTTTGTGTTCTCATGGGGCGGTTTTAATTTTGATGATCAGAAATGTCGTCTCCTTCCGTGACTGAAGTTATTTCCAGGTTGTCAGACGTGTAGCTCTTCCCCCCCGGTTGGCTCTTGTTCTTGGGTGGCCGGTAGTGTTTTCGGGGTGTGTTAAAGTTAACCTGCGGCACCGTTGCAGTTCATGGCTTCAGTAAACTGAGTGCTGAGCTCGTGAGATTCCTTTATTTATAGGACTCCCGTTAAAGGTGGCCTTGTTAGCTGTCCAGCCTTATAGTCTGTGTTTAGCCTGCAGTGAAAGCCCCCGAGACCAGCCCGTGCTCTTGCCTTTGCAGGCGGTGAAGGAGAGGAAGAGGTGTGTCACGGCGCACTGGCTGAACGCGGTGCTGAAGAAGAAGCGGCTGGTGCCGCCCCATCGGGCCCTGCACTTCCCCGTGGCCTTCCCGCCCGGGGGGAGGCCGTGCTCCCAGCACGTAAGGCTCACCCCTCCTCCTCTGCCGGGGGGGTCGTCTGCTCCCGTGTCCTCCGTGGGCTGCGAACGGCCCGCTGGCCGGTGCCGAGCGCGATAGGCATCTCACGTCCTTCTGTTCTCCTGTAACAGTCGCGGCTTCTGCACGGAGTCACTGTTTCATTGACTCTCCTAAGTCTCTGACACCGTTTCATAAATTCCTGAAACAAAGCAAGCGACTCAAACCAGAAGTGGCTGCTGTTGGCCAGACGTTATCACTTGTGGGTTCTCCCACTCAGCTGAGCTCAAAACTGGGATCAGTAAGAAGAACTGACTAATCTTTACATGCTTAATACAATAGCTTCATTAAGATTACCTGAACGGTGTCGTAGTAACACAAAAATGGTTTTCCCATGCTTGGTAGGTTTCTTTTCCATCCCCTTGCTGGCTGTGTGTGTAACACTTTCACCATTAACAAAGTTCTGGTTTTGACATTCTTAGAGATGATGTCACTAGATGCCTCTCGTGATGCCAGAGAGGGAACGGAAACACACGTGTCTATAAAACAAGTAGAATGTAGAGGACGGTTCTGTTAACTGGGTTAGATTGTCGTTGTATCTCGGCCTTCTTGCTCTTTTTCCTTAGATTATTTCTGTGACTGGATTTGTTGACAGCGACAGGGACGACCTGAAGTTAATGGCTTACTTGGCAGGTGCCAAGTACACGGGCTATCTCTGCCGCAGCAACACGGTTCTCATCTGTAAAGAGTAAGCACGGTTCTGAAGCCATCCTTAATCTTCAGTTTATACACACTGTAGTGGTTGTGTCAGCACTGCTGTATTTCTTAATATGTCATAGTTTCGTGACGGAAATTAGGGTGTGAAAATCAAAGTCTGTTAACAGGATAGCAACGCTATTTATGATAATGCTAGCAGAAGGATTAAATTAGATGAGTTAACGAGATGCATTTTAGCCCAGGTAACAGCAGTAAGGTAAAGGTAGGTCTAGCGATGATCTCGTGACCCATGTGTGCGCTTCCTTACCAGCCAGGGTCGGCTCTACAGAAACATCCCTGCCATTTCTAGTGTGAGAAAACGTGGACTGGCTTTGTTGAACATAAATATAAATTTGAACACAGAACTCTTAACGTTTAATAAATGTGTTTTCTCTTCAAAAAAAAGACCAGCTGGTTTAAAGTACGAGAAAGCCAAGGAGTGGAGGATCCCGTGCGTGAACGCCCAGTGGCTGGGAGACATCCTCCTGGGGAACTTGGAGGCCCTGCGGCAGATTCAGTACGGCCGCTACACCACCTTCAGCCTGCAGGACCCCTTCGCCCCGGCTCCGCACTTGGTCTCAAACCTTCTGGGTAAGCGGGGCCGGTTCCACATTGCCGCCAGCTTGCGTTCTAAGCACCACCTGTCTCGGCTTCGGCCCTCTCATCGCTCTGATTTCATTTCCCGTTTCCTCGCCACACTGTCTTCCTCTGCACTCTGCCCAGGAGTTTTTGTTGCTGTGTGTTTTGATTTGCGTTTTCTAAATGGACTCTCAGAGGTAGCAGGAACGTGCAGAAGCCTGCTGATCTTGTCTCAAGCCGGCTCTGGTCTGTCCAAGGCTCCCCGTGAGCCGTAGCCCACCTCCCCTTCAGCTGCGCAAAACTGGTGGAAGGATCACTACCCCGACTGTACACGCTACAGCACTTAACGTTACCGCATTTACTGAACTGAACGTTACTCCAGAAAACGGGCGTTCAGTTCGAACACTGCTTTAACGTGCTGTCTCTCAAAGGAGCCTGTTAAGTTCCAGTTTGAATGGCTTCAGTCACGAGAAAGCTCGTCTTCATTTTGAGCTGTGGTCTGCTTGCTCCCCTGTGACGCACCTGCTGGTGTGACGTCACCTCGTCCTCAGTGGACACGCACCCTCGGTGCTCTGCACGGTCGCCGCCCGGCGCGCTGTGGTCCTTGGTGTCAGCCCCCTTGTCGCAGTCGGTTTCTTAGAAGCCGGACTGTGTGGCTCCCAGTCCGGCCAGGGGGAACAGCACACGCGGGGCGGGCAGCCTCTGCCCATCACTGCAGCCGCTTAGTAACAGTCCTCACATTTTCCCCTTATTAAAGGTTGTCCGCCAAGCCACCGTGTGTCCAGGATTACCCGCTCCTGAAAGGGCTTTTTGTTTTTGTTGTTGATGATACACTTCCTTTTTTTTTTTTTTTTAATTGGAGGATAGTTGATTTACAGTGTTGTGTAAGTTTCAGGTGTACAGCAGAGTGAATCAGTTTTACATACATGTGTATCTATTCTTTTTTTTTTTTTAAGATTCTTTCCCCATGTAGGTCATTACAGAGTATTGAGTAGAGTTCCCTGTGCTCTACAGTAGGTCCTTGTTACCTGTTTCACGTATAGTAGTGTGTGTATGTGTCATGAAAAGGCTTTGTAACACGGCTTATCTGTTTACACAGTATATGTGAAGAGTAACCTGTTTCTCTCTTCAGATGCTTGGCGAGTTCCATTGAAAGTGTCGGCAGAGTTGCTGATGGTATGTCGAGCTAATACCCTTACTTTGGCTGTTACTGTGTATTATACACATGCAGGAGGGATACATTTGTATTTGTGAATTAAGAATTCTTTTAGTAGTTTGTCACCATAACAAATGAGGGCTGTATCTTCTCGCCTGTCGTAGCTGTTTAGTATACCCTGCATCTTTTTTTTCTTAATTGATGATATTGTCAGTTATTCATATTTGTCAGTTATTCATATTTATACACGTTAGGAACATTATTGCTTCTTAAAGAATCGGAGAGCTGAGTAAGTAAGACGACGTGTTTCCATAGGGTCAGGGAGGCAAGAGCTGAGGCATTAGTGCAGTAGCCCTGGACCCACAGCTCACTGCAGGAGCCCGGACCTCACCGTGATGGGACTGTTCCCGCATGTCCCAGGTGGGGTTCCAGCCCGCGGGCTGAGCTCTGATAGGGTACCTTCAGGAGGGACCGTTCTGGACCTGAAGGCCAGCAGTTGGTTGTTACGAAACAGTTGGGGGGGGGGGGGTGCATCTGCACTCTCATCTCAGATTGAGAGGTCATTGCTTCAAGTAGTAAAACAGAGAAAGTGTATTTGTGGACGAAGGTCTGCATAGAGGTGAGGCAAGGGTGAAGGATGACTCGGGGGTTCCTCCAGGGGCATCGGCCTCACCCTGCCCTTTGACTCAGCGTGTCCGCAGGTCAGGGGCTCCAGCTGGTTCCAGGAACATGGGCGCCCCGCGCCTGGGGACCAGAGCGGCCTTCAGCACCTTGCCCCGCCCTCCAGAGCGCTGTGACCTGATCGTCCTGAACCCTCGTGGGTGACATCTCAGTTCAGGAAGAGTCTCTTTTTGGGCATGTAGTTGCAATGAGTATGTTTTCCAAATTCCAAACTGGGACACAAGACAAAATATTTGAAGTGAAAAGTGTTCTGAAAAGTTCAAGGTTGAGGATTAAATCCGTAACGTAAACAGAGAGAGGGGTGAAGACGTTTTAAAGAACTGCTGGGTCTGGTGAATAATGAGGCCACCAGCCCAGGGCTTCCCTGGAAGGCTCGCGTGTGTCTGTCTCTCGGCTGGTGAGGCGTGGTGGTGGGTGCGTGTGTCTCGTACGCAGTGGGGTGGGTGGAAAGCTCTCAGAAGCTACTGTATTACTGGGGAGACTGATTAAAGTGAATCATATTTTAATCACAGGGTGTACGACTGCCTCCCAAACTGAAGCAGAATGAAGCCCCTGCTGTCCAGCCCTCTTCCAAAAGAGCCAGGTATGAAGAAGCGCCTTTTTTTAATGGTTGATGAGCTTTTACAGGTTTGTTTTAGAAAATGGTGGCAGTTGGGAAAGTTCCCTGAAGTGTTCACAGTGAACAGGATTTGGAAGGATTTGCTGACTGTGTCACAGCTTTATCGCCGCGCGTCTCATTTCATTGCTGGAGATAAACAGGGAATAGCCAGTGTTTTTTCCTCTCTTATTAAAAAAACAGTTGAATCTTCTCCTTTAACCAGAACCGCGCCAGAACCCCCGGTGAGCTGCTGTGGTGGAACGGGGGTGGGGGACTGGAACCCGCTCCAGGCGTCCTCGGTGTGGGCCCGGGAGCCTGCGTCCCGACCCCTGACCCGGCGGGTCGGCGGGGGGTGGCTGTGTGCAGACCTGCGCTGGTCTCACCTGGTAAAGAGAAGCCGGCGGCTCCGTTAGGACCCAGAGGCCCTCCAGGCCGTGCTCAGCGAGGGGCTCCCTCTCTTCCCTGCCCCTCAGCGCTCCCTCCTGCCATTCCCCACATCCATACAGTCTGGGAATGATTGGATTTTTTAGTGAAAGCCTAATTATGTGATTATAGATGTCATTAAAATGCCACAAATAAGTTTTTCTTAATTGAATAGACTGTCTCAAATATAAGCTGAAAATAGGATTTGAGAAAATTTAAGGAAATGAAAAAGACTGAGGTTTAATTTAAAATGTGTGCTTGAGTCAAACAGCTTTGTTCTGTGCCTTCTGGGTTGAGACGGGGCAGGTGGAAGACACGGGACTAGAGCCTGGGGTGGGGGGCCTTCCGCTCTTCAGGACCAGTGAGGGCGGGGGCGGGGCTGCTGGTGAAGTGGAGCGCTGATTGGCTGCTTCCCTGGGAGGTGCCACACGGAGGCCTTTTGGGGGTGCCTGTGTGTGAATGGTGGGAAAGAAAAAGAGCAGGTAAGTCATTGTATTTTCCCTTTAAGGAAAGACCACCACACACACTTAAAGCTTGTTAAAGCTATTAAAATCCCTTGTTTGCTAAAGAACATTTTTAAGTAAATAACAGGCGGTCTTTTCTATGTATATTTTATAGAATTGAAGACATACCACCTCCCACTAAGAAGCTAACGCCAGAACTGACCCCTTTTGTGCTCTTCACTGGATTTGAGCCTGTTCAAGTTCAGCAGTATATTAAGGTGAAACTTCTGCATGAGGATTTCTAGGAATGTTCCTTTCTGTTTATGTTTGCTTGAGGCCAGCAGTCTAATGAAGCTAACATTTAATCAGGAATATCGTATTATAAGTGTGTACAGTGTGTATCTATAAACTGTGTGTCGTCATTACCTCATCACTGACTTCCCGCCTCATTCCTGCTACTGCTTCACACTTAGATAACTCGCTTTCTCATTAGGAGAAAAACGATTCAGGTGAGTAGACCGAGAACCATTTCTATGATCATGTGAACATGATTAGCAAGCCCACTCGGACATCATTTTCATAAAGACGTTAGCTTAAAAGAGTAGCTGTGCCTCTTCAGGTTTTCTGATTGAATCCAGTCTTTCAAGACTTGTTTTCTTGGGTAGGAGGGTAGGCCCAAGGGGTGGTGGTGTATTTGTGTATTTAGATAAATAAGCTTCTTGGAAATAACACCAGGAGGGATTATGGGATTTTGTTTTGTTATTTTAGGGACGGGGAGGGCGATGGCTAAGAGTAGGAGTTGACCTGTGTTACATGGATTCATACGTTTTACTTTTTTTTTTTTTTAAGGAAAAGAAACAATTATAAATGCTACTATACGTTTAGTATAATTTATTTTCTTTACTTTTAAAATTGAGTATAGTTAAAGAGATCATCTTTATATGTTTATGTCTTCTCAGTCAATTCTTAGGTCATCATTTCTTAAAATACAGACAGTATTTTAAGGTGCCTCAGTAACACTCATTTCAGCTTAGAAAGCCTGGGCAGCTGCGTTGTTTTCAGAATTTTACTTATTTATAGGGATGTCTTACTTAATCCTGATCTGCACAGCACTGATTAGGGAAACGTACATTGTCAGTCCTAGTTTTCACTTTCCTCCTACAATGGCGTGGGTTTGGTTTTACCAGTTGCACTGTTTTCCGTGGCCGAGGACTCTGTTCGTAGTCTTAGACGCGTCCCAGGCCGTGTGCAGCTCTGTAGGCCTAGCTCTCACCTCTGGTCTGTGTTCGTGACCCCCAGAAGCTCTACATTCTTGGTGGGGAGGTCGCCGAGTCTGCACAGAAGTGCACCCACCTCATCTCCAGCAAGGTGACGCGCACCGTGAAGTTCCTGACGGCCATCTCCGTGGTGAAGCACATCGTGACTCCGGAGTGGCTGGAGGAGTGTTTCAAGTGTCAGAAGTTCATTGGTGAGTAGCAGCATCTGTACCTCAGTGAACTTATTACTTCAAGAAAAAACCCCTTTTAATTTGGCATTATCTCCATTTTCATCCCAGCAAACATCTAGTTCATTTGTTAACTCTTTGTTATTTATCCGTGTAAATTCATAAACTTATTCCATGTTCCAGTCATTTGATTGATATCTTTGCATTTTACCATGAAATTTGGAAGGTATTGGGGGAAGAAGCAGCTCTGCATCCCTGCCATGTTGTTTCCTGATGTGAGTGTATTTTGTTTGGAACGCTGGCTGTCGGATGAGATTCCACATGCAGTACAGCGCCCGGCGGGGAGCCCAGCAACGTCCGGGCAGGTGGGAGGGTCAGCGTGTCCCTCCCTTGCCCGTCTCCCACTGTCCAGGGCACCGAAAGTGAAATCCTGTTACTGGCAGTGACACTTAGAGATAGGTTTTTTCTTAGATGAGTCAGTACACCCAAGGGTTTTTAGAGCCTTGCTAATGAGCGCAGAGCGAATATGATTCCAAGTGACTTTTCTCTGCGGAATAGATTTGCAGCTTCGTCTCACGTGTGTTTTCCTCTGTGAGGGCACATCACAGCCCGTTGCCCTCAGGGCACGGGACAGCACTGTGCTTAGAGGCCGATCAAACAGCAAAAATCACTGACAGAAGCACAGAAATGTGAAGAAAGTAGCAGTAAGTGAACCACGGAAGGACCCTTGTTCTCAGAACGAGCTGAGCCAGGGCGAGCACCGCCGTGTCGGCCCCAGCGGGAGGCGCTGCGTGGGCAGCTCTGCCACGTCCACAGAGAACTGCAAAGCACCACAGACGCTGGTTTTGAGGTTACAAATAAATTGTACCGAGTGGGCATATTCACAAATACGAAATCCACAAATAACTAGGTTCAACTATATTATGTAATGTTTAGAAATTTTCAGTTGAGATTTTAGAAATTTTTTTCTTAAAAGATACTAGTGAAATATAAATAACAATGCAGGCAGAAGAAGAAAAACGTAGAAACAATACCACAAACGTAGATAAGCTCTCAATTGTATGAGCTATAAAGTTCAGAATGAGGGAGTCTGTTCTTTAACTGAAATTTGAGCTGCTTAATTTATCAGGCTTACCAGTCTGGGAAAACCAACATTTTTTATCTGTTTATGAAAGTTATAACAGTTCATATTTGATGGGCAGTTTTAGCTTTCATTTCTTTATGGCCTTATTAATGTTTGCTGTGTTGACTTCTGAGGGTTTATAAGGTGGTTCTGGTCTTATTATAAACATTTAATATTCAATATTGAATAGTCAAACACACTTCATATTTGATCCCTCATATTTCAGGATTTCTTAACTTTTCCAGATTGTCATATAGTTGGAATTGCACAGGATGCAGCCTTTTCATGTTGGCTTCTTAGTCACATGCATTTATGTTTCCTCTGTGTCTTCTTAGCTCATTTCTTTTTAGCACCAAGACTGTCCCACCGTCTGGACGGACCTGTCTGTTTATCCTCTCACCTACTGAAGGGCATCTTGGTCGCTTCCAGGTTTTGGCAATTACAAGTAAAGCTGTGTTCTGTGTGCAGCTTTTGTGTGGACGTAAGTTTTCAACTCGTTTGGCTGAATACCAAGCAATGCGATTGCTGAATCATATGAGAGTAGGTTTAGTTTTGTAAGAAACCATCAAACCGTCTCCCAAAGCGCTGGTACCAGTTTGCGTTCCATCAGCTTTTAAGAGTCGTGTGGTGGTACCTCATTTTTGTTTTAATTTGCATTTCCTTGATGACATACCATGTTAAGCGTCTTCTCATGTGTTTATTTGCTATCTGTATATCTTCTGTGGTCATGCATCTGTTCAGATCTTTTGTCCATTTTCTAACTGGGTTCTCTTATTGTTGAGTTTTGAGAGTTCTTTGTATATTTTGGGTAACGAACAGTCATTATCAGATGCATCTTTTGCGAATATTTTCTCCCAGTCTGTGGCCTGTCTTCTCATTGTCTTTGACAGAGTGGAAGTGGTCGACGTTAATGAAGTTCAGGTCGTCAGTTATGTCTTCCGTGGATCACGCCTTTGGTTTTGTGTCTAGTCATTGCTGTGCCCAAAGCCATCTTGGTTTTCTCTTGTTACCTTTCTAGGAGTTTTAGTTTTGTGTTGCACATTTAGATCTGTGATTTGTTTTCAGTTACTTTTTGTGAAGGTGTAAGGTCTGTGTCTAGATTCAGTGTGTGTGTGTGTGTGGACGTCCACTTGTCCCCTTGCGCCCGCTGCCTGTGCTCGTAGGCAGAGTGGGGAGGTCTGCACTGAGCTCTTGTTGTGTCCAACCATCTGCCCTTTCACCCAGAGCTTTACAGTGCATCTGGAAGTCTGGTCCTCAGTCTTCCAGCTTTGCTCTTCTTGAGTTGGCTGTGCTGTGTCTTTTGTGTTGTCGTATGATATCCACTAGTCATTTACTACTTTTTTTTTTTTTTTTTTTTTGGTGGTACGCGGGCCTCTCCCGTCGCGGAGCGCAGGCTCTGGGGCACGTGGGATCTTCCCCGACCGGGGCACGAACCCGTGTCCCCTGCATCGGCAGGCAGACTCTCAACCACTGCGCCACCAGGGAAGCCCCTAGTCATTTACTTTTTTTTTTGCGGTACGCGGGCCTCTCACTGCTGTGGCCTCTCCCGTTGCGGAGCACAGGCTCCGGACGCGCAGGCTCAGCGGCCATGGCTCACGGGCCCAGCCGCTCCGCGGCATGTGGGATCTTCCCGGACCGGGGCACGAACCCGCGTCCCCTGCATCGGCAGGCGGACTCTCAACCACTGCGCCACCAGGGAAGCCCCTAGTCATTTACTTTTAATACAGACTTGAGACATTTTGTTTTGCCAAAAGTTTACATTTTGAGGTTGTTCCTGAAATTTCTCAAGACGAATACTAACCCTAGGTTATTAGTTCTGGCAGTATCTGAAATTTTGCATTCTGATTCATTTCTTACTTTTTTCCATCTTTTAACGTTTTATGGATATTTTTAAAACCCATTTGGCTTTTGAATTAAATTTTTTTGAAACGATCAGTCACCCAGTTGCCTATATAGTACAGACATAGCTTCTTTTTCCTGATCCATTAGAGTCCGTTGCCCAAATAATGCTCTGTTATCCCCAGCACCTCAGTGTGTTTCCTACAGACAGACAAGGACGTTCTCGTGGATGGCGCAACACGGTCAGTCAGGAAATCAACATCGAGCCATCGCTGCTGCCTCGTCCCCATTCACATCCGCCCGTTGTCTCAGCATCGCCCCTTAGAGCAGAAGGACCTAGTTCTGAATCACACGTTGCGTGTAGTCTCCTTGAGTCTGGGAAGGGCCTGTCTGTTCTTGTCACTTGAAGATGTCTGGTCAGTTAGGTCTGTCACTGTACAGAATGCCCTCCGTCTGGTGTGTGTACTGTCTCCTCCCGAGGGGGGTGGGCAGGTGGCGTCTGTGGCGGGACCATCACATGGCTGCGGTCTCCTCCACCTCGCATCCTGCCAGGGGCTGCACAGTGCAGGTCCCTCGACGCAGGTGCAAGCCGGCCAGGTTTCTTGACGAGTCATTTATGGGAAGCACGTTGAAACTTTGCAGATACTGCTGTTCCTGTCAGACTTCTGATTTATTCTCTTATTTCCCCACACGGGCTCCTTTCTGTCTCCTTGTTACCGTCTTGTCGTCACCGACCCTCACATCATCCCCACTCTGACCAGGGATTGCCACTCAGGCTGGCTTCTGTGTCCTGTCCACCTCTCCTGTCCGGTTGACCACGTGGTAGCTTTTGGCAAAACAAGAATGTTCTGGGCTCATCTTAATGCTTCTCTGCCCTGGTTCCACACCAGCGTTTTCCCAAGGATCCCCGAGTCCTTTCAGTGTAAACCTGGGAGCGGACGGACGGCGCTCGTGGCCCTGGGGTGCTGCTCCTGAACCCTCTTCCCACTTCCTGTGTCTGTCTGTCCGATGCCAGTCTACCACCACGCGGTTCGTCCTCATTTCCTCCCTCCCTTTGTCTGTAATCCTTTCTCCAACAACAGTGAGAAGCCCGGCTTCCAGTGTCCTGGTAGCTTACTTGCTAAGCTGCACTGTGTGTGGTCAGTAGCACGTGGACCACCACTGCCCCTGCAGTGCAGCCCCTCTCACTGGGCTCTGACGCCCTCGGGCCTGACAGCTTTAAACCTGGATTGTTCAAGAAGTGGTAGGGGATAATTTTGGAATTTTGTATTTAATTTATAAAATTGGTGTCTCAAACTATATAATCTCTTTCTGGAAGACGCATGTCCTCTGCTGCTGTGAAAAGTTTAATTTTCAGGTTGACTGTTTCTACGGATTCTTAGCAAGTTAATGTAACTCTGCTGCTGCTTTTAGAAAACCAAAATGTCAGCATCTCCTCTGGGACAGGATTGTTTTAGCTACTTCGTTATATTTCAGTGTCATCGTCTCTTATCATAAATATTAACTACTTCTTGGCACTCCCTCATAGCTCTCCAGAAGGCATATCAACCTTGATTCTGCCGTGGACACTTACATTTCAAATGTAGCACTTCAGGGACTTCCCTGGTGGTCCAGTGGTTAAGACTCCGTGCTCCCAATGCAGGGGGCCCAGGCGCGATCCCTACAAAAAAAAAAAAAGATCCCGCATGCTGCAACTAAGACCTGGCACACCCTAAATAAATATTTAAAACAAAACGAATATATCACTTCATGCATGACAGTACATTTTTGTGCATTTTTTAATTCATCATTTTTTTAGAAATTCTTACCGTCTTCCACCTAAACCAGTCTAGTGCCTTATCTGCTGATGGCTGATCCATTCTAGCAGTTGTTAAATTTCAGCGTTTCTTTAGTGACATGATTGCTCTTGCCCAGTGGTCCTTGAGCTCAGAATGGTTTTTACATTTTTAAGGCATTGTTTCAAAAACAGAAGGGCATGTCTCAAAAGTATATGGCCTACAACGTGTGTCATCTGACTGACCCTGACCCTAGACTCTCCCTGCTTTGGGCTGTGTTACACAGTTTGGTTATTATGATGAAATGAAGAAGAAATGATTTTCTGAATGAGATGTATTTCATAAGAAGATTAAAATATTTTGTGATCTTTACCTTTTGACAAATTAGATATTTCTTAAAAATTCTTAAATCTTCAAAATTTGGTAAAACTATTCTTTATAAATTGCTGTACATATTCATAGATTTAAAAGGAACGTGTTTATGGTAAATCTCAGCTAATTGAGTCTAATGGCTCTGGAGTCACTGTGGTCCCTACACACACACACACGACGACAGTTCGCGGCTCTCCCTCCGGGAGTGGAGCTCTTCCCCTGGGCCTGTGGGCCCTGGGAGGGTGAGATTACAGCTGAGGGGTGTGAAGGGGACAGAGCTCTCTGTGCAGTTTTTTTCCAAACGCTAAGAAACACTGACCAAGGAGGGACAGTGTCTTCGGCCTGGCTGTTTTCAGGAGAAAAGTAACTGACAAGTATAACAGGTGAGGCTTTTGTTCACAGGTAAATGTGAGCCGTGGATCACACGCACCTGACCAGGGGCAGCCTGGAGCGGATGGCACGGTGCACCCCGGGCGCCGTGCGCTGTTGGACGGTGTGCACTGGTGGACGGTGTGCTGTTCTCTTTTCCAGATGAGCAGAGCTACGTTCTCCGAGACGCCGAGGCCGAGGTGCTTTTCTCCTTCAGTCTGGAGGAGTCCCTGAGGAGGGCACGCGTGTCTCCGCTCTTTAAGGTACGCTTGGGAGGGAAGTCAGATAAGGCCCCTGGACGCTACAGCTGAGGGCGACAGCAGGGGCCTCCCTGGAGCCGCCCCCCTCCACCTACCGTCCCCACTGCATGGGTGGCCCTCCTCGGGCAGGGTGCTTCTGGGGGTCCGGCACCTGCAGAGTCCTGCTGTTTCCCATAGCTAAGAGAATCCACACACAGTTAAACAGATTAGAGAGATGCATTACAGATGCCCGGTTCTGTAAAGAGTTACGTGTATGAATAGGTAGGAGACATTTAAATTGATTTTTTTGCTTTTAACAACTTACATTACTTACTACTATTCTCATTAAATGTATATATACTCAGCTAGAGAATGGAGAACATCCTTGGGAACATATTAATTGAATCTGTGCCTCATAATTCTAGAATATTTAAATATTTGTTAGATGGGATAGAACACTCTGGAAAATTGTCTTTGTCAAACAGCGGCTCAGTAAATTTATAAAGCTAATCTTTTTTTTACCCTTCAGGAGCCAATTTAGGAATCAGAAATGATTTGCAATACTGAGTTAAGAGTATTCTACCTAAGATAGTCTGATTTTTCTAAATATTCGAATTTAAAACAAAATAGTATTTTTGGTACACTTAGAAAAATTTAACCAGCAAAACCATTTCCTATTGAGCTTACAGTTTATAGAAATTGAGAAGAGTGTTCCTATTCTTGTTCTTATTGCTTTTATCGCAGAGTACTTCATGTCTTTTAGGAATATAAGTTCTAGTTGCTGTTAATAAGTATAGGTCACACCTAACATAGGAAGGTGCTGAAGTTACTTCCGAATTGACACACCTGGATTCCCCCAGGCCCACTTCAGACTGGGGACTAGCCGGGGCTAGTACGTGTATCCCCCTGAAATTAGACATTTTGTCAAAAATCTCAGGGTAGAGTGAGAAATTATGTACACTAAAAATTCCATTAAAGAAACATAATAGACATATTTTCCTTTTATTTTTAGGCGAAATATTTTTACATCACTCCTGGAATCTGCCCAAGTCTTTCAACTATGAAAGCGATTGTGGAATGTGCAGGAGGGAAAGTACTGTCTAAACAACCGTCTTTCCGGAAGCTCATGGAACATACGCAAAATAAGGTGGACAGAAGCAAAATACGCTATTGAATTCATCATTGTCGTGTACAAGAGCCATTGTTTAGTAACCAATAATTTTCTTTTCATTAGAGTTTGTCAGAAATAATTTTAATATCCTGTGAAAATGACCTTCACTTGTGTCGAGAATATTTTGCCAGAGGAATAGGTATGGTTTATTCCTTTCCTCTTGCTCTGTATTAAGCGTGTGTAGGTGCACGCACGGCAGTGCATTCATTTAACGGCTCTTGTTTTCGTTCCTTTCAGATGTTCATAACGCAGAGTTTGTTCTAACTGGCGTGCTCACACAAACACTGGACTATGAATCATATCCTTTTGAAAGATGTGTGTGCAGAAACCCTCTCAGCACTAGTATCTGAGCTGTGTGTGTTCCGTATCTCCAGAGTTGGCGATAAAAATGATAAAAGATCCCTTACCTTTTTGGAGATTTTGTTTCTATACAATATGTGCTCTCACATCTCTCCGGGTTTTTTTTCCTACCTTTGGGTGATTGGTGGGTGTCATCTCAGGGCCCCCTTTCTTGCGTCTGTAGCCTGAAAGGAGCCTGCGTCATTCTGCCCCAGGACGGTTGGAGCCCCGGGTGGATGGTGCAGAGTCGCAGGGGTTGGCGAGGGCTCGGGCGCCCGAAGCGCACCACCTCGGCGTGCGGCCTGTGTCGGATGCTGTCACTAGTTTGCATCGTGTTTGTTTGGCAGTTGATTTCCTCAACAAGCTTACGTATAAATTTAACTGACGCACCTGCGCTGGTGACTGGAGCCCGGCGCACGGGTCTGGCTGTGTCAGCTGCCGGATGGAGCGGCCCCTGCGCCCTGGAGACGCCCTTGTTTTCCAGCTGCTTTCTTCGGGGACAAGCATTTTAAAGCAGGAAGACAAATATATTAAATATACTGCATCTTATTAAGATGTGCAATTTTATTCTGAGGAAACATAAATTATGTTTTGTATTATATGACTTTAAGAGCCCACGTTAGGTTTTCATTTGCCGGGTTTTTAAATGTTTTCACAACACTGTTAATGGAACTTTAGCTGCAAATGAAATGGTGTAAATAAAGACCTTGCTATCTCTAAATTATGGATGTTAAAGATTTGAAATGTTTTGTACTTATTTTTATTTCTTACACTCTTTTCTTTTATATTGATATCTTGCCCACATTTTAAATAAATGTACTTTTGAACTTAGACTTGAGTGGTCCCTTGTTATTACACATTTTTTTGTACCATTTATATGATTTGCATTAAACTGGATCACATTTTAAGTAATTTCCAGGCAAAATATTTTCTAGTAAATTTTCTCCCGAAGAAATCATTTCTGGAAGGCAGCCATTTCTGTCAAGGTAATGAATAAACTCCTGGGCAGAGGCACAGTCAGGGTATTTAGCAATTACTACCAACAGGCAGGCGCCAACCAGCCAGAATCGTTAATACCGCAGAAACCATATATATATACACACATATCCCGCTTCTATTCCAGGCATGGTTCTAATACACGTCCTGTTGGGCTGTAGGTACAGAAGCATACTGGAGACTACCACCTTATCAGTAATTACTAACATGAATATATAATATACCACATTTATTAATATATTCAAGAACGATACTGTCACAGAGAGGTTCAGCACTGCCCTCACATCACGGCTCGTCAGGTGTGTTCCTGAAACACTGGATTTGCCTCCATAGCAATGTCTGAGATGTCTTCCTAGAAGGAGTTGTGATCTACTCCCAAGTCTACTCACCAATTGCACAGTCTCTACAGTTTAATTCTTAAACACAGTTTAAGTGGAGCATGTGTATTAAGAAAGTTAGTGAACTCCCCATCCCAGGAATTCTCAGCATTCCCGCAAGGCTCTGACGTTGGTTATACACACTGAAAACATCATTACTTCAGGTGTTCTCCCAACTCATGGAGTTACTCCTACCAATGGGATGGAAATCGCCCACGACTTCACGATTTTAAAGTGAGGCTCAACACCTTCAACCTGACCTGTGCCGTCTCAAAAGCCTTGACCTGTGGCAACTTCCCAGTGACCCAGCCGCTGCCGTGTGGGTACACCTGCACCCTCTCTCAACACGAGTGATTGATACGCTGATTGTCCACTGGAAACATTCATCTGTTGAGCTCCTTAAAATACACCCGAACAGCAGTTTTGTTCAGATGTACCACATGCCGGCACGCACTTGCATTTTTACAAACTGCATCTCAAACTGTGTGTACATTTTAGCTCATACTTTTGTACCTAAGCAAACTTAGGGATACTTACCTGTAGAACTGACCTTTTCTCCTCACGTACAACAGGTGGAATGAGGGCTGATATGAAATAATTTCAAATCTGTAAAATCCCAGAAGTACAGAAGAGTTTCATAAGTTGGAACAAAATCTTGATCGCAGAGTATTCAGAATATGGCCCTCCTTCTTACACCCTTGAAGAAAAGTGAAGATAATGATGGAATAAGGGCCTTCTGGGTAGAGTATATGCACCTGTTCAGTCTTCAGTGGAGGCGGGGTTTGTTTAACCAACATGCAAGTATGACTGACTTGATTAACCTTTCAATGGGTGTTTTTCTCAAAACCTGCCAAGAATAATCCTTAAAAGACCCCAGGAGCTGTCTGCGGCCAACTGGCTGGCACAGCTGCTAAGCACTGATTGGTGGCTCAGAGGAAGTTCCATGTGAACATTTAAGAATAAAGTAAATCAACTTCTTGGAGAAGCTGATTAGGTTAGAAAATTATTTCTCCTAGGAAAAGAAGTCTTTCACTTAGTCCTGTTGTTTTCGTCTGGCTCAAGGTTTTTTAATAGAAATGCAAACCACATACGTAATTTTAAAGTTTCTGGTAGCCACAGTAAAAAGCTTTTAGATTTAGTTTCTAAAGTTTTATTTAATCTATCTAAAATATTGTTTCATTTACAAGTAATATTTTATTTTTTCTTTTTTTATATTTCATACCACTTACAGTTTAAAAAGATACATATACCCAAGTTATTCTAAGGGTAAGGTGTTTTCCAGTAACTGAGTTAGTGCCAACTTTTTAAAATTAATTTTTATTGGAGTGTAGTTGATTTACAATGTCGTGTTAGTTTCAGGTGTACAGCAGAGTGAATCAGTTATACATATACATATATCCACTCTTTTTTAGATTCTTTTCCCATATAGGTCATTACAGAGTACTGAACAGAGTTCTCTGTGCTGTACAGTAGGTTCTTATTATCTATTTTATATGTAGTAGTGTGTGTATGTCAATCCCAATCTCCCAATTTATCCCTCCCCCACCGGTGTTCATTTTAAGTTAAAATTCACAAAACTGAGATGGACAGCGCAGCTCCTCACTCGCGCCAGGCACGTTTCCAGTGCTTGGTGACCGGGCGCAGCTGGTCACCTGTGAGGAGTGTGACCCGTCTGTATCCTGTCTCACTTTGCAAGTAAGGGTGGAAGAAATGTGAACGCCACTGAAGACAACAACATACACGCTGCATCCAGGTTAAGCCCAGGATCATGTCTCTGTGCAGACAAAGCCTAGAAAGACATGGAGCTCGCCCCCTCCCACGAATACATCAGGAGTACATCTACACGGGGAGCAGCTCTCAGAGCACCTGCCGAGCCCTGGCAGAGAACCTCAGACACCCAGAAGTGCAAGGAAGATCTCCACGTAACCCCGTAGGATGAAGGGAAAAAAGGGAGCAGGACGGGACCTGCACCCCTGGGAGGGAGCTGCGAAAGAGGAAAGGTTCCCGCACACTGGGAAGACCCTCGCTCACGGGGAGATCAGCCGGGACAGAACGGGGGCTTCAGAGGCTCAGAGGAGAGCGAGGCAGCCGGTGTGCGGCAGGCAGAAGAGAGAGAGACCAGCACAGAGGGTCTGTGCTACCTCCCTGCAGTCCCCAGCCTGAAACACACGCCTGCTGGTACGTGCGGGGTTTGGGGGCTGAAACTCAGGCTTCAGAGGACAGACCAGGGGAGAGGACTGGGGTCGGCTGCACGGACACAGCCTGAAGGGGCTGGAGTGCAGCACGGGCTGCGCGGAAGAAGCCCAACCCGCCATAGAAGCGAAGCGCCGTTGTTAAGGGGCACGTGAAGGGAAAGGTGGGGCCCGCCAGAGCAGCCTCACTCTGCGTGCTCACAGTCAGCTCGCGCCGCCGTTGGAACCCATTGTTAACGTGCGCAAAGGGAGGGCTGGGCCCCCCACAGCGGCCTCTTTCTCCGCACTCGCAGCTGACACGGCGCTGCCTTCACCAGCTCTGGGAGCACACACAAGAGCCAGTGGGCTGTCTACACGCCGAGGCGGGGCTGAAATCAGAGCCCTCTCCCTGTCGCTGTACAATCCACAGACTTGTGCCATTGCCGCCAGCTTTGCAAACTCAGTGCTGGGTGGACAACGGGTGCCTCCATGGCTGGGACAGGCCCGGCCTTAGCAGCTGTGGGCTCTGTGTGGGTGCACACATGGGGCGGGGCCGGGGTCTGGGCTGCTTCCGTAGCTCCCACAGCAGGTCTAGGTGTGTAACTACTGCAGTCCTGGTACCTGACTTCAGTGGACCTGCACTGGTGGTTTTGTGAACACAGTACCTGAGGGACACCAAGGCCAACTGCCTGCATCCCCACCATGGAGGTGAGGCCAAGAGGAGTGCCAACAACAGTGCATTCTGGGAGCCCACGCAATGGGTGACAGGTGACACCAGGCAGTGTGCTCTGCACGTGGGGACTGCTCCAGCAGGGCAATACTCAGTGGCTCCTCTCCCAGTGGGACCACTCCAATCCTGCCTACCCCACACTGCAGCTTGAAAACGGATCCAGGGGCTTCTGCTCCAACAGCTGTGGAGCAGACCCTGCCCCCAACAGGGCAGTGACAACCACAGAGCAAAGAGGAGGCCCCGCTCAACAACTGGGCAGGCTCTGGTCACCACAACACCAGTTACACCCCCTTTCAGGGGGATGACGGCCAGGACACACTGAGGAAAGAGGCGGCAGGCATCCGTACTCAAAACAGCCCTAGCACCAAAAATATTAAACCTATGCAAGCTACACAGGGAAACTCCCGCATAAAGATAGCCCTCCAAGACCACAGTAGATGATTGTTTCTCCTAAACTCATAGAGAAGCATAAATAAAATGAAGAAGCAGAGGAATCGCTCCCAGTTAAAAGGTCAAGAGAATTCCCCTGAAAGAACAATGAAACAGACCTCTTCAGTCTAATAGACACCAAATTCAAAAAGGAGATAATGAAAATACTGAAGGAATTAAGAAGGGCTGTTGACAGAGATGCAGAGTACTGTTATCAAGGAACGAGAAACTATAAAGAGGAACCAAAACAAAATTAGAAAACTCATTTGCCAAGACGAAAGCTAAGCTTAAGGCAATAAAAGGCAGATTGAATAATGAATAACGAAGAAGTGATCTGGAAGACAGAATAATGGAAATCACCTAATCAGAACAGCAGACAGAGAGCCAAATGAAAAAAAAAATGAGACCTAGGGGATAATACAAAGCGTGCCAATCCACACAGAATAGGAATCCCAGAAGGAGAAGAAAGAGAAAAGGGGACCGAAAATGTATTTGAAGAAATTATGGCTGAAAACTTCCCAAACCTAAAGAACGAAACAGATATCCACATACAGGAAGCACAGAGTGTCCCAAACAGACCTACACCAAGACATAATTAAAATGGCAAAAGTTAAAGAAAGGTCTCTAAAGGCAGCAAGAGAAAAACAAAGAGTTAATGACAAGGGAACCCCATAAGGCTATCAGCTGATTTCTCTACAGAAACATTACAGGCCAGAAGGGAGAAGGAAGATATATACAAAGTCCTGAAAGGGAAAAATCTGCAACTTACGATACTCTACCCAGCAAGATCATCATTCAGAATAGGAGAGAGAAAGAATTTCTCAGACAAGCAAAAAACTAAAAGAACACAGCAATACTAAACCTGTCCTAAAGGAAATATTGAAACGTCTTCTCTAAATAGAAGAGAAGCAAGAATCTATAGGAAAGACAAAATCACAATTGGAAAGTAAATCACTTAAATAAGCCAGTACACAGATTTTTAAAAAATTAAAAAATACGATTTCTGTGAAAGCAATGACAACCACAATGAACAGCAAAAGCACAGGCATGCAGATGTAGAAGAGGACATCAAAATCATAAAATGTGGGGAAGGAGAGTAAGAAAATGTACATATATATTTTTCAGAATGTGTTTGAGCCTATATGACTACCAGTCTAAGCAAATAGATATTGGAAGGGGTTAACATACTTGAAAAACAGGGTAGCCACAAATCAAAAACATATAATAGATTCACAAAAACCAAAGAGAACACAAGCATAATATAAAAGAAGATCAAACTCAAAAGGAAAAGAAGAAATACAAAATCAATTCGAAAACAAGGTTTAAAATGGCAATAAATACATATCAATAATTACCTTAAATGTCAATGGACTAAATGCTCCAATCAAAAGACACAGTGGCAGACTGGATAAAAAAAAAAACCATGAGCCTACAATATGCTGCCTACAAGAGACCCACTATAGGGCAAAGGACACAGATTGAAAGCAAGGGGCTGGAAAAAGATGTCTTGTCATGGCATGAAATGGCAAGAAAGCAAGGGTAGCCGTACTCACATCAGACAAAACAGACTTTAAAACAAAGGCAATAAAGAAAGATAAAGAAGGACACTATATAATGATAAAAAGGATCAATACAAGAAGAGGATATTACACTCATCAACATATATGCACCTAATACGGGAGCACCCAAATACATAAAACAAATACTAACAAAGGGCGAAATTGACAGGAATACAATAATAGCAGGAGAATTTAACACCCCATCACATCAATGGGCAGATCTTCTAGACAGAAAATCAGTAAGGCAACAGAGATCCTAAATGATACAATAGAACAGTTAGACTAATGATATTTTCAGGACATTAGATTTTAAAAAAACACAAAGAACAACAACAAAAAAACCCAGAATACACATTCTTTTCAAGTGCACATGGAACATTCTCTAGGACTGACCACATACTAGGGCACAAAACAAGCCTCAACAAATTAAGAGTATAGAGATTATTTCAGCATCTTTTCTGACCACAGTTGCATGAAACTAGAAATCAACCACAGAAAAACAAGAAAAAAAAAAACGATTACATGGAGACTAAGTAATATGTTACTAAAAAACCAATGGGTCAATGATGAAATCAAGAAGTAAATCAGGGCTTCCCTGGTGGCACAGTGGTTGAGAATCTGCCTGCTAATGCAGGGGAAACGGGTTCAAGCCCTGGTCTGGGAGGATCCCACATGGTGCAGAGCAACTAGGCCCATGAGCCACAACTACTGAGCCTGCGTGTCTGGAGCCTGTGCTCCGCAACAAGAGAGGCCGCCATAGTGAGAGGCCCGTGCACCACGATGAAGAGTGGCCCCTGCTTGCCACAAA